GTTCTTGATTACTTTTTGATAAATAATTCGTTCTTATTGCGAAATAGGAGCACTATTTATCAATCTGTAATAAAAGAGGTGAGGAAATTCTGTCTTTTTTAAAAACAAAAATTTTTGAGGCGAAATACCCAACAGGAAGTTTGTAAAAAAATGAATCCGCCTCAACAATATAGAACATCTAAAAATGGATACTTATTGGAGGATTAGTAGAGTAAAAAAGTCCTGAATAACGCAGAACCACAATCAAATATTTAGAACTGGAATTTGATGCTTGAATTATTAGTTATGTTTGTTAACCACATTTTTTTTCTTTGAGGAAATAAAAAAAATGTTTTATTGACAACCATTCATATTTATTTTCAACCAAGCACTTAAAACCTGGCATTCAGTGGAAGCATCTGTAAAAACAATTCTGATTTTGCAGAAATGGAACATTGTGCGTCATTTTTAAATTGGGAACGTTTATTTTCGCACAATCCACAGTTCAGTCTCACACTCCAACTCTTTAAATCGAGTTTATAATGATCGAATAGATTGCTTCACACCTTCACCAATCAATTGAAATGCCGTTAAATGATTGCGCAAGCACAGGTGTTAATGAGCAATGTACACTAGTTGATTGTTTAAATTTAACTATGACAAAATGTAGAAATGACCAAACTAATAAAATATACTGGAATGGTGTAAAATTGCGTATAAGGCATGGAATGAAGATCATTTGAGGGTCATATTCTAATGGAACGTGTTGCTGGGTTGAAAAATCTGTTATTTTGTCTTTATTACAGGTACGAAGAAAATGGAATACAAGACCAGACAATGGCACGAGAAATGCTTCTGCTGTTGTGTTTGCAAGGTGCCAATCGGCACCCAGAGCTTCATACCAAGGGAACAGGAAATCTACTGCGCTAAATGTTACGAAGATAAATACGCCACAAGGTGTATCAAGTGTAACAAGGTATTTTTTTTTCAAATTTCGATGCATTTTGATATTGATAAGCCAGATGATAGTGGGGAATATTGTGCACAAAATAATCTTGGCAATATCTATTTTGAACTCGAACTCGATGTGAGAAGAACAGTTTTACTCTTTATACTTTGAAAAAGTTAGCGCAATGTTTTTATTTATTTCTCACATTGTATTTTTCTTTTCTATTAGACTATTCCTGCTTTTTTTCCTGGTGTGTTCTGTTGTGCCTTTTTTGCCTATGAACCAACTGATTGACTGTTCTTTTTAAATACCCAATTAACAGTTTCGGTAGATTTTTCAAAAGAAGCATACAAACAAAATGTTGCACGGCAGAAGATTCTTGTTCCATCGTTAGCACTATTTGGGAACTGAATTTGGCTGGCCAATAACCGCAAATCCGTCTCGAAATTCGATTATTCCTCAACCAGTATATTTTTTAGCACTTATTTGTTTGCAGGTTATTACTAGTGGAGGAGTAACTTACAAAAACGAGCCGTGGCATCGTGAGTGTTTCACTTGTACGCATTGCCAGAAGAGTTTGGCAGGAGAACGTTTTACCAGCCGGGATGAGAAGCCGTACTGTGCCGACTGTTTTGGTGAACTTTTCGCCAAACGGTGCTTCGCCTGCAACAGGCCCATTACTGGAATTGGAGGAACCAAAGTGAGTTAAATATTGTATTGAAAACAGCATTTTTGGTTACTGTTAAGAAAAGGTTCTTAAACCATTGTATACATATACAAAACATATTTTAATTTCAAAATAGAAATGATCACTTTCAAGCAAGGTTAGAATATTTAGGCAAATTTGGTTTAAAAACGATAATCAATAAACTGTAATTTATTTCAGTTCATTTCCTTCGAAGACCGTCACTGGCATAACGATTGCTTCTTCTGTGCTACCTGTCGTACGAGCTTAGTAGGACGTGGTTTCATCACCGATCAGGAGGACATCATTTGTCCCGAGTGCGCCAAACAGAAGCTGATCTAATTTAAAAAACAACACCATACATAATCTGGCATTTTTGTGAATGGTTTTCTTATCTGCTTTTTCCATTTACTTGGTGAAAGTATACGACTAAAGCTTCGATTCTATAAAAATGCCTTTTAGCTGTGTAATTTTTAGACTCTTAAACCATCCACATGACACAACATGACAACACGCACACATTTAACACACATAAAACACACTTAAACACACTTGAAAAAGAAACGAGAAAAATACAAAAAAATATATGTTGAATAAATTTACTTTGGCTTGGGCAAGTGCCATTTTCAGTATAAAACTGAATTAGCTTCAGAACGCGATATTTACCTAAAACAGAGCGATTACCAGTTACGCGAAAGTAGGTTTATTTGCATAAAATTAACCTTAATTATTGTTAATTTTTACTTAACTATTTGTTTTTTCTAAAGAAGTTTTGTTTAATATTAATTAGGCTTTTTATAGCAAAACTTTAGCGTAATATAAATTAAAACATATCGCTTCAATTGCTTATTTAGAGAAACTATTACATACACTAAGTATATTATATTAGACTAGTTTTTTGTTGGACACCGCTGAACTAAGTATACATATTAGAATACCTACTTCCTAATTCTAATTTTATTAATAATTTAGGTAAATAGAATTAATTATACTGAAAAAACCACGTGATAGAAGTCATTTTAAATTGTAAAACTATTAGGAATTGATGACTAAAAACGACAAGGCCTTTCCATTACAATAATGTAGCGTTTTAACTGAAATTTACACACTGGGAGTTTACTCAGTTAAATTGTTATCACTGCGATTAAAACGTGGAGACTTATCAAGTTGAAAACGATTTAACGGAAAATTTCGATGATTTTTTTTCTGTTTTAGACATAATTATTACTGTTTAATTTAACAAGATTAGCTGTATTTATGTTCTCATCGACTTGTGTTGTAGATATAGACAGTGTATAGAGCTTGAGCATTTATAAAGATGATAATGGGCGATTTGGTGCTACTTAGTGTAAAGTTGATTTTATAAATATGTGCGTTATTAATTCTATAAATATTGTTATGATTAACAAGTTTTTTAAGGTCATTAATATCCTGGAATGTTGTATATCAATTGTAAGCTTTTACAAATGTTAAATTAAAGGGCTTTGCTTGTAGGGACTTTGTTATTACATTTTATTCCTCAATAAACTTAATTGGAAGATTCATGTCAGACGTTTTATTTACTACATGGGGTGTTTCCCGTACACGTGCCAATATTTGTGGGTCGAAACTAAGAACAAAGGTGGGCAAAGGCTTCATAACAATTGCTTAAGACAGTTACATCAGGAGATTCTAATTTTCGAACACTCGATCTCGATATTACCTCGAAGCATTAATTCAAACTGTTGCGCTTAAGCAAGATTTTTTTAAGTCCGAAAAAAATCCGCTTTAATTTGTGACGATGTAAAGTACACTAGTATTAAAGCAATCAATAGAGAAAATTAGGTTACATGCTTGTATAAGGCTTCTGAGCCAGACTAGTTAGTTATTAAATTAAAGGATTAAAACTTGATCTAAATAATAGAGAAACCGTTTTGCGCCACATTTCGGTTCTGCTGTGCAAGAAAGTGAGAAAGCGCATGAAAACTGTTGAAACAACAATTTGTAAACGATGGGCCCTAAAAGCGATCCCGAAACTGTTGCTCTCAGAAAAGAGCTGGAGGATTTATATAACCAACTACAAGTAAGTTGGTAGCGTACTTTGTAAATTAAATATGCCACCAAAAATGTGTTCTGTAATATGTATGTCGACCTTTTACGCTTTTTTGCACAAAATTATTTTTATTGGGTTAAAAATGGAAAAATATATAAACGTAAATGCAGAATGTTTACATAAACGCTTTAAGGCAGAAAAATATTACTGGTAATTTTTTTTCTTGAGAAGTTAACAGACTTACACTTGAGGAAAATTAAATAAACCGATATATTTCGTAGGAAGCACAAAAAAAATGTGCAGACATCACCCTTGAAAGTGGCTGTAATGACGTTGGAAATGCCCCATCGGTGAAACTTTCGACCAAAAAACTCATGAAAGGGCATTTAAATAAAGTGAACTCCGTGCATTATAGCGGAGATAGTCGACATTGTGTTACCGGTTCATTAGATGGAAAACTAATCATTTGGGACACTTATACCGGCAATAAAGTCCAAATCATACCGTTACGATCGGCCTGGGTTATGACCGTTGCGTATGCTTCATCTGGAAACTTCGTAGGTGAATATTCAAAGCGGAATAATTCAATATTTCGAGCAAGAGATGCAAAATTGTAGTTGTGATTTTAGCGTGTGGTGGAATGGACAATATGTGTACCATATACGATTTGAACAACAGGGATACGTCTGGAGTCGCAAAAATGTCGCGGGAATTGGCAGGATACGATGGATTTCTGAGTTCTTGCAGATTTTTAAATGATAGAACGATCATCACTGGTTCGGGAGACATGAAAATGTAAGTAACGCGGTTTCTAATAGAACTGAAATTTCACTGAATTGCATTGCGAAATATATCAGCATTTCCCTTTTTTATTTAATTATTTACATGAAAAAGGACGGACCGGAAGTTCATTGGATTAATATGTGAGGCATACAGAGAGTTCCATAAATATAGCGAAAAACTTTTAGAGGTGGCAGGAGATGAGAGAAGCAACTTGAAGTGGATTAGCAACAAATAGTGACAACTTAAACTAAAATAAATTAATAAATCGGCGACCTTAGCATCGAAAATCCAGTTGTTAATTAAAGTGGAATTTTGGAAAAACTTTGGCTGCTAACCCAAACTAACACAGGAATCAAAAATACTTAAATGAAATCGAACAACAAACCGATCATGTTTGTCGTAGAAAAAGAGTTGTTGCAGCTTACGGCCGCTTTGGATGTGCTACAAACAACTTGAACTTTGAATCATTTCAAATATATTGAAAATTGTGCCGAAAAGACACATCTGAACTATGTATCTGTGTTCGGGCATACGGTTTAAGTACATATAATCAAATGGGACTTACCATTAGCTGCATATTTCTGTGTCCCATAGTCGAACTGCATAGTCCCAAAGTCCTCAACAACCTCACAAACACGTCAAACAGTCCTCAAAACTCAAAATGCGCCCCAAAATTGATGCAAACTCGGCGCTTGTCGAGATAATCTCTGACAGCAAACGTCAAACATTTCTGTGTGTGAAAAATTCCGATTTTTTAGCTTCAATCACACTATCGGTGAGAAAAATACCTTAAAACGGTGGAAATTAAATTAATTTTTCAGTAAATCTGCCGTCTTCCGCAAAAAAATAAAAAATTTCCTCGATTCTTCGAAATACTCACGGAACGAAGCGCTTGCATTGTCGCCCATGCGCTATTAAACAAAACACTAATTTAACAATGACATGACAAAAATTGACGTATTTTTTCCAGCCTATAAAGGTGCGTCCAGACCGCAGCGCAATACCGCGCCAAACATTCGCGAACGTTCACACACAATTGGCGCCTCGCGTCTACATAAATTGCTGCAACAATAAATAAAAATGTTTGCATTTGCCAAGGTTCCAGCTTGCACGGCGAAATAAATGTACTGTTCATCATGGATGATGCTAAAATTGCAGCGGTAGCTTTCATAATTTTGTGTGATTTATCTAAAAGGAAAAAGAGAGTGAATAGACGTTATTGAAAGATAGTAAATGCAAACCATTTGCAGGTATAAACTAGGACTCGGAATCAAACTCGAATAATTCGAGTATTCGAATATTCGAAAAGCGAATAATTATGTGTAGTCTATACTCGAATACACCAACATTATCAAACTCACAAGGTGCAAATATCTTTATATGCACTTTGTATACTTTTATAAAATAAATTATTCATATTCTACAAGCATTTAAACAAATACCCATATATTTACATGCAAATGAAAATAATCATATTTACTCTCCTGCAAATGAATGTAAAATTTCGTCTCTGTGTTCTGCTGATACGCGTCATCAACTTTTGCTTACAATTACTGTGCCGACAAAGGCACTTTTTTATCCGTTGCGGCTAGTTACCAAAAATGATATGAGATAACGATTTTTCTTTTTTTACTTTCGTACTTTCGAATTCGATTATTCGATTATTCGAATACTCGATTATTCGAATATTCGTTAGATATTCGAGTATTCGAATAATTTTACTATTCGAATAAACCACTAAACGAATAATCGAATATCAGATTTTTAAAAATTCCGAGCCCTAGTCCAGACCCCAGCTCAATACCGCGCCAAACATTTGCGAACGTTCACCCACATATTGCGCCTTGCGTCTACATTGCTGCAACGATAATTAAAAATGTTTGCATTTGCCAAGGTTCCAGCTTGCACGGCGAAATAAATGTGCTGTTCATCATGGATGATGCTAAAATTGCAGCGGCAGCTTTCATAATTTTGTGTGATTTATCTAAAAGGAAAAAGGTAGTGAAAAGACGTTATTGAAAGATAGTAAATGCAAACCATTTGCAGGTATAAACGTTCTTATTTTGTCATGTTCTTCAGATTCGCACAAGCCCGCATAGTAAACTGCTACTATCGTCCAAACTAAATTTGCCCGAATACGAACATTTCTTTGATGTATCGACTATCGACATCAACCGGAACATATTTGTTCGCGCGGCTTTGCGGGTTGGTGCACATGATACCGTCCTAATTAGTGATATTTCTTGAAATTTGCAACATTCGCGAATGTTTGGCGCGGTATTGCGCTGCGGTCTGGACGCTCCTTTAAGCGATAAATTTGGCAAACTTAACATATTTTTTTTTACCTAAAAACCAAACTTTTTACCAGAAACTTTCTTTAGTTAGTTTAGTATAGCGAGCTGACTTGGCTCAGGCTCGGCTCGGGCTTGGCTGTTTCAAATCAGCTCGTTAAGTTCTTCGATGGAAATGTGTTTTTATATAAATATAAAAAATATACAAAATATTTAAAACACTCTTACTTTTAGCTGCCAGTGGGACTTGGAAACCGGCCGGAAAACCAACGACGTGGTGGCGCATAATGGAGACGTCGTTTCCATTAGTCTATCTCTAGATGGAAACAGTTTCATCACCGGTAGTGTGGACCAAACATGCAAACTGTGGGATGTTCGTGAGATGAAACCGAAGCAGACATTTTTCGGTCACACTGCAGACGTGAATTCAGTTTGCGTTAGTAGTTCTATAGGAAAACAATGAGGAAAATTAATTATCCAAATCGTCTTCAACAGTTCCATCCGAGCGGATATGCGTTTGTTACTGGCTCCGAAGATAAAACGGCTCGCATGTTTGATATTCGAGCAGACCAGCAAATAGCTCAATACAAGCCGCCGGCCGCCAACAGTGGATTTACTTCGTGTGGCTTATCGATTAGCGGCAGAATCATTCTTTGCGGTTCAGATGACAATAATGTTCACATGTGGGATACGCTGAAAACAACTCATAATGGTAATTTTTGTGGGAATATAAAACGTCCGAAAAATCAAGAAAGTTTGATTCAAACAATAAAAGAATGGTTTAATTTTCAAGTCAAAAGTAAAAAATTACACTGCTTCCATTTTAGGAACATTATCTGGACATGAAAATAGGATCACATCCCTATCTGTGGCCCCGAATGGTTTGGCCATTTCCACTTGCAGCTGGGACCAGAACGTGAGAGTTTGGGGATAACCGGCTAAAACCACTCCGAATATTGGCAAATTAACTTCGTTTATTTAAAAATCTTATCTTATATGGTAATTCTACTTAAAGTGATCAGATTTAGCAAACTTGCTATTCTTTTTTTATATTATGTATACAACAAACATTATTGGGCTTGCAAGCAATAAAGAATTCCACCGTCTATCACGTACATTAAGAACGCAGGGGACGCAACCACACATCAAATTCACCCAGTAATCTTAATAAAATACAAAAAACAGCTACTACGTTGTCACCTAGATATTAAACTGGGCTTGATTTAGTGGCTGAGTAATTCAAATTTGACGTCATGTCTCTGAAGAAATTAGCAGAAAATTTGTATTAATCTTATTAGGAAGGTCAATAGAAACCTTAGCATTTTTAGGTCCGGGTTTCGAAAATTTTAAATAAAATAAATGCACAGTAACATTATCATCAAAGTGCATCCTAATAAGATTCCTCACTGGAAAATATCACTGGTGTCTAGTTTCTTCTGAAAATATCGCGGATTTGACTGCAAAATTTCTAGTCTCCTAGAATTCGTCAATAAGCATGACACTAAACATCATATATATATGCAGTTCACACTGTTATTATCTAATAGTTGTATGGCTCATACGACCTCAAAACGTACTTTGAATTCGAACAATTACAACAATACATTAGAAAATTGGCAGTTCAAAAACAATTCAAAGATTAATATAATCTCTAAATTCTTCCTAAAAACAACTAAATGCAATTGTTCTTGACTTATTAAAATTATTCACTTTGAGCAACGAAAAATCATTGTAAAGTGGAAATTGGACATTCAATAAACCTAAAAGTTTTTGATGAAAAAGATGAATGAATGAAAAACAGAACCCAAAATTTGAGATAATTAAACTAACGGTTCATCAGATACATGAAGAATCTACATTAGACAAATAAAAACGCAATTGTCTATTAAACTTTGTCTACCACTGGCAAAAATGTGATGATTGAAACTACTCATAATAGTCTTGCAATTTTAGTGCCAGCTATTTAACTTACTAACGGGAAACTTATTAATTAGAATGCAATGGTATGTCGTTGAACAGTGAGTGTAGTTTGCTATATACTTTTGGATGACCTTATAGAAATAAACGACTAGAATAAATCACAGTGAAATAATTGATGACGAGACCTTACTTATTTTATTTGCAGTAGAAGGGAATTTAGAACGATGGCCCCCGATTCTTTCGTACTCCACTCCGTTCGATCGGCGTCTCTTGTAATCGAATAAGCGCCCGGCTTTACAAATAACTGAAAGGCTGCATAAACTTTTTTACTACCGTTCTCGTATGGCGGGGCTGAGGAATTTTCCAGCGATGGATAAAAAACCACTTGAACATCGTCGCCCTTTTGTCCGGTGAAGTTGCACCACTGAGATTGGCCTGAAAACAATCCGATGAGGCACATTATTCTGGAAAATTTACAATTGCTATGCTACCTTTAGTTAGAGGATAGCCTTGATCTAAAATACATCGCACTGCACCCATTTTGGTTGGGTAGAACGCGGTATCCCATTTATCTGTGCATATGTTAGCCCGATTTTTCAGTGGAAACCTTACCCAACCGATGGGAAGACGCTCTTTTGCTTCTTTTTCGTCTTCTAGCGACCAACTTCTGTTGCAATTAGAACAGTAGCACACCAGTTCTTCGCAAGCAAAATATTGATCTGAAATGCATTTGATAAATAATTCTTGTATAATTTTCCTAAGTGCATTCAACATTGAAATTTAAGCACATTTTATAAAAAGCAATATACACCTTACCTGGCAGGAGTATGTTTTTCTTGAAATTCTCACACTCTTCCTTCAACATACATAACACTAAAGGACTCACAACAGGCGACATGTTGAGCAAATTACCAGGATTTGATAAACTTGTGCTCGGCAATGGCAAGCTTAGACTATTGTCAGTTCGTTCTTTTTCGCAAGAGTCCAAATCAGCTTTTTCGCATTCTGCAGTCACCAAAGCCGTTTCTCTAGATTTTGATACTTCGCCGAATATTTTCACCTGCATATAAAACCTTAATTTTAGCAAGCATTCATGCTTGCATCCTTTGAGTACCTTTTGGCATTGACCATACAAGTCAAATATTGCATACACCGGCTGGCCAAGTGGGTAAGTCCAAGGAAAACTTTGCTCCTCAACTCCGTTGATAATCAGTTTGAAAAACTTCATGTCAGTAATCATTACACCTACAGAGTCGCCTTCAGTGAGAGTTTGTAACACTTGCCCATAGTTGGATCGCCCCTAATTAATAAGAAATATACTCTTAGCAAGCGAATAATAATGCAGATTGTCTTATACCGACCTTTACACCGTTTATCGATATCCAATCGTTAGCAACTACACACGATGGCCCTTTCAGAGCCAAAGCATTTACAGGAAAATTCAATCGTTCCAACGGCCCAGCGACCACACCAACTATAATCGACGATTGCCAACGCGTATCCAGCTGCTCAATAACCACCTGCACCTCTTTATTGGGATCTAAAGCTGGTGTAACGGTAACTACGCCTTGGTTATAGGAAGCCACTCGTCGTGCCACAGTTTTATCCGATTGCAGCTCAATATTACGGCCGTGATTTTCATGAAATTCGTATTGTCTAATTGTACTGCCTGAAATGTTTAAATCCGTGTTGAAATTCAATCAGTTAACTAAGGACTGAAGTAGCGCTTACCTGCTGCTGACTCAGTTGAACCTAACATGATGCATTCTTCCATTTCCAGAGGAACTAGTTCTTGATCCAAGACAACTTCTAGGCTGTCTTGAAGTCGGGCACTGCAATCAAAATAATACTCTAAGAAACACTGAAAAAACTCCTCGCTAGTAGAATACTTTTAAATTGCCACATTGAAAGGATTAACTGGTCAATTACTCTAGCACTTAGCAGCGTTAATTTTAAGCACAACGATTATTTTACCTGTTCATTGGAGATGGAGAAGGAACTTTATGGCTGGTGACTGTTAATTCACAGCACTGCCCTTTTAGGTCAAAAACAGCCCAAACATTGTCGCCCATTGAAGGAAACTGAACTGGAAGCTCTTCGCCATTTATAAAAACCTAAACGAAATCTGGGATTTACATTGGCAATTGCTAGAGCGCTGTCTAATTTAAAATTGGAGCTGAGACTACCTTCAAAACCAAATCTTGAGTTTGAAGAATCCCGATGCGGTCTCCCACATTCAACCAGTTCAAACTCGGAGTGAAGATTTGCAAGAGCTTATTCTGGTGGCAGAGTTCGTTGCCTAAATGGTTTCAATTAATTCCTTGACAATTCGTGGATATACATTTACAATTATTACCAGTTAAGTAGCAACAGTCAATTGGAAAGCTTCTGATGGGTGAACAAGGCGGAGTCTCAGTTATTCCTATTGAAAGAGTTCCCGCCATGTGCGCCAAAAGATTTACGATAGAAACCTCAAAGATTTCGTCTTTCGTTAATCGTGTGCTACTGTAAACGATACTGCTGCTGTACTCCTTCGATCTGCACGCAACCCTGCCATTTTCACTAAGAACAACACCTTTTCCATGTTGTTCGGAAAACCTATGTAAGTAAAGCTCGTGGTTTGGATGAAGAGCGCCGCCAGCTTGCAAAGAAGCCGAAGTGTCTGAACTGAAAAAAACAAGGAAATACTGAAAAACATTTTACAGACAAAATGCGAGGCTTACCGAGGACAGGTATCAATTCCCACAGAGGCTAAAGGAGCGATTGGGGTAGCACAAGGAATGCTAACTTGCGCACACTGCCCATACAAATCAACAACAGCATAGATGTTGCCGTGTGGAATAAAGCACGCCGGTCCTTGTGATACTCCATCCATGAAAAACTCCAACTGTTTCTCACAGGATCGCATGACTCCCAATCTACCGGATAACATTACAAAGTTAGACAAAGCAGCGCGATTTTATTTTCACACCGAATACTTTACCTCACACCAGATCCTAAAGTATCCAAATCACATGGATAGTTATTTAGACTAGTTTTGCCATTAACCATTACTGAAGCCCCGCTCAACATCCAAGTATCTCTATGCAGATCAGTTGCTGTATTCGGCAGCTCGATATCATCGGGTCTTACAGCAGTTACACCTGAAAATAAAATGAATTTCCTCAGTCCCAAAAGAGCAATAAAAACCTGTTGTTTGCTATTGTAAAAGAACTCAACATTTTCAAGAGCTATTTGGCAACAGAACGTATTTATGTTCTTAGCATCGTTTAGGGTCTATTTAGTACATATAAGAAAAAAAGAAATTGAAATGTAACAAGTTTGTAAGAGTATTTGTACAGTAAACTAACCCAAACAACCTACCCAGTTCAATGCTTCCCGACCATCTATCGACTATAGTGTCCAATAGGATTTCAAATATTTCGCCGTCCCTCAAAGGTCGATTGGAAAAAACGATAGCGTCATTAAATTCGGCCAGAGGTCGTGGACGTAGAGCCGTTAACCCATTGTTTATTATTCGTGCGTTTTTACCATGAACATGGTGGAATCTTAAATCGCTAAAAATAGTCAGGTTTTTAACATTTTCTATTCAAATCCCAACCACAATCTTGTAGTTACCAGTAAAGGGTTGCATTTGATAAGCTTGAATTATTGGTATCTGGAGAAGCGTCGTCGTATGTATCAATTAAAGACACTGCTACACACTGTCCGTATAAATCTGCAATCGGACGGAAATTAGCCAGCTTTGTAATAACAGAAAAAGTGACCCAACCTACCTATAACGCCATATAACTTTTCAGGGACATTATTGGCTGCACTTCCTTGATCCACTCCATTTACAAAAAAGTGTAATTGTCCGTTTTCTTTCCGCACTAATCCTACTCGATCTCCAACTTGCAATCTATCCAAATTCACGCCGTATTGCTCTTGAATGATAGTGCCATTGTGCATTATTCCACTTCCCGTCATCATCCAAGTGCCAGATCTCAAAAAGTTGGAAAATAAAATTTTAACAAATTAAACGGCTTTAAAACATTTACCTAACGTTGGTCATGGTAAACGGAAACTCCAAATCTACCGGACTATGAGTAGTCACTCCCATTTCAATTGAGCCAGCCCATTTTGTGACAACTTTGTCTAGTTTAATCTCAAAAAGTTCGCCGGTTTTCAACGGACGAGCCGTAAGAACAACGCCATTGTTAAAGTCATCCGAAGCATTTGGCCGATGAGCGGTGCGACCATTATTAATAACTTCGGCATGTGTGCCACAGTTTGGATGAAACGACAATCGATCATAGTAATATGAAAGTGGCTGAGGTTCAGGAACAGCGCTCTCTTGGTCGCGCGTGTTTCTGCGCGTAATGAGATTTTGTTCTTCTCTTTCGTCCCTTTCGACAATGGAAACCTGGTGTAATCACAAACGTAATAAACAAAGGTGAGAATGTGTGTTGAACTACCTTAATAGTCATTCCGTATAAGTCAATTACGCCCCAAACGGTGGAGGGTACGCGTTGAGTGGCAACTCCTTGATCTAGGCCGTTGATAAAATAATGCAAATTTCCATCGGGTTTTCGCATCATCCCAACGCGGTCGCCTTCGCTTAATTCATCCAAGTTAAAATCGCCGTATTCTCGTCTAGTGCCTTTTCCATTTGTCAAAATTCCACAGCCAGACATCATAATGGTTCCACTTCGCATGTTAGTCATTGTGGCAGGAAACACCAGACTGTTTGGATTGTGAGTTGTCACACCCATCTAAAAAAAATTTAAAACTCACTCCTTATCATCGAAAATTCGCACCAAAATACCTCAATACTGCCACTCCATTTATCAACTAAACGATCTATTCTTATTTCGAATAATTCCGAGTCCCTCAATGGCCTATTGGTCATAACAACTGCATTATTAAATTCATCAAACGGTCTTCGTCGCTCAGCAGTTCGATTTGCATTTGTTAACTTTACCAAAGATCCGCATCGCTCATGGAAACATATTCTATCTTGTCTCGAACCATCCTCCGGAACATTGGCACTGTTTTAAACAAAAAATAGTCCATACGGATAAACTATTTCCAGTCAAATCTACCTAGCGTTAGTATCCATTCGGATGTCCAAACTATTGCTGCTGCTCAAACTCAGCTCACTTAGGTCTCCGCCTAAGGTAACATTTAAAACATCATTTTCTATGGCCAATACTGAACTTCCACTGAGGCAGTCATCGTTGTTGTGCTCTCTGAATGTCGGGCTGGTAACGCTAACCTGAACACATTTGCCATACAGATCTACTATTGCATATACGATATTTGGTAGACCTTCCGCTGCTACACCCTGAGACTCTCCGTTGACATAGAATATCAAATCTCCCTAAAAAGGCGATTTTCACTGGTCCTGTTCACTGGCTATGCCTTGGGGTAACCAAATATTTACCTCACAAGTTTTTACCAAGCCTATTCTATCCAACTGATTCAATTTGTCCAAGTCGTTACCATATCCTTCTATCAAGCAATTCCCGTTTTTGAAAACGGAAGTTCCGGACATGATCTAGAATGGAATTGTGCCGCTTATAATTCGACTGATAAGTTAAAGGCTTTCATTTATTTTTACCCATGATCCTGATTGAATTTTTGACGCACATGGAGGGAAATCAAAATGAAGAGGATCCACATCTACCACACCAATTTCCAAACTACCGGACCATGTGTTGATCTGGCAAATTCGATTTAAAATAAATATTATCAGAAAACATACATAAAATTAGTAGGTTTCAATTGGTTCGAAAAATTTTTGAGAAAAAACACAACATACTTAAAACTTTGTTGAACAATAATGATATTAAGCGGGTTTGCATCGATGTATGAAATCTCGTTTTGCCATTTGTTTTTGGTTGGGCACAGGTTGATTTAAATAAATTTTGGGATTGGGAGCATATTGACATAGAAGAGCACCACAAAATTTGCAATTATAAGCACAAAAAAGTTTTTCGATTACCCTTATATTATAATTTATTATTACCCTAATATATGTTTATATGAACTTGAAACTATGATATTTTAATCTCCAGAGTCACATCCCAAAATATATCAATGTTAATTCGGGGCACCATGTACAAATGTTTCCACAATTTTCACTTTTTGCCAAAGAGCGATAAAGACTGTATTGACTATAATGATTCTTTAAAAAATTGTGCGAGCATATGATTCGACATTATTTATTTTTTAATTTGCTTTTAACATAGGTTGTATAAACCGTAGATTATTATTAATAATTTTGAGAACTTGATGGTAGTTTTGTACAATCGAGTACAGACTAGAAAGCTTTGGAATAAATCATACAAGGGTTTGATTGCTAATTTATTATTAATATTTATCAAGTTAATTGCATAAAGCAAAGTCTCCAGACTAGCTAACTGTAACCCATGGACTTGAATTGAAGAATCATTATTGCTGTTCTTTAATAAAGTACCACCAATATGCTACTTTGGAGCTGTGGTTTATTATTTTTGCTATTTTACTTGCCTGAACTTTTACAATTTCAAGTACTATTGTAGATTTTCAATAAATGCCATAACCTATGGGGATGTTATGTTGCAAGGAGAATGAACTTGTTAATAGTTGATAATTCGTCTAATTGATTAGTTACCTTTCTATCTATAATTACTTCGAACAGAACATCATTCATTAAAGGCTCTGCAGAAATCACTAATCCATGATCGAATTCAGAGTCATTTCGTATAGCTGTGGTGTTTTCATTAATTAATGTGATTCTCTCTCCACAACGGTAGTGAAAATATGCCATTATTCTGCACTGTTACTTATTATAAACACCAACATTTATGATAAAAATTAATTAAAAATTAATAAATGGACATATATGACTGCAGTGTTTTGGCAGTATTTTGTAAACAGTTTTGACATGTCGGTGTTGCCAAGTGTTGAAGATCTCCGTACAGTTTTCTTGACATTCAAATGGTAAAAACCCCAAGGAAAAGTGCATTTTTGCTCATTTGCACAGCAGCTTGGCAACATAAACCTTAGAAAAGCCACCCCGTTGTCATTATCTATGAAGCCACCAAATCCATTTGATTAGTCTTCACAAAATATTCCCTGAGGGGATGTTCTGTGTTGGTCTTCAAACGCAGTTTGGGGATAACATGAAAATATTTTACAATCAGGTGAAGTTCACAGGTGATCTGTGGTGAAGTTTACATGTGGTTTACGTGACGTTTACTCCTACTAGTTGTCTTCATCCACAGATTACAGAGTACCTCTGTGATCTGTGTCTTCATATATGGTTTACTCTAACCTAACTAAAGGTGTTGTTTTTTTTTATTAATTGATTGAGTTGAGTTTGTAGAAGAAAAATAAGAAAATAAGCCAAAATGCGAATGAGAAACGCATTTCAACTGCCAGAGTTGGATGATTTACTGTAAGTTCATTGTTTTCAGTTTATCCAACCATTTTTAACACCAATTTAAACATTAAATGACACTGTTAAATAAAAAATATATTTGAGTATATGTTTCTGTGAAGTCTAGAGACGGCATAATCTCAGATTATACAGGGTGTCTCATACTATATACCGGCAAATTTGTAGATATGTTAGAGGACATCATTTTTGWWTTTGCAAGCATTTTTGTTTCAGGAACATATTCCTGAAAACGCAGCGGTTACCAGATACAGTGTGTTGAAATTGGAACTTTTCGSTTATTTTTKGCATTCAGAAACTGTATAAATAAAAGGTCGATTRGTGGCGATACAAAAATTTAAYGTCTTCAGCTGCTTCAAAAAGCCACTAGTCCATATTAGTTTCCTCATTATTATCCAAAACACACGAAAAAKCCTGTGRAAAAAAARCGTTAAAAATTAAACTATGGTCATTCAATTCTTTACGGTAGCAATMGGAAAAATGTCTGCGATTTACCAATGCATGCAGAAGCGAGGAATGCATCGAACTCATTGAAAAACATGCTAMCAGTTTCAGATCCGAAATAATAGACATTTTCGGCACATTTTAAGCGTTTTTTGAGCGTTTACGATCTTTAGCAGACGATTTMTTCCTTATTATTGACCCAAACACTTTATAAATGGACCGCAGGGACCRCACTCAAATTTTTACATTGACTAAATAGACTGCATATGCTTTACAATATCTGAAAAATTAATAACTTTTATTTGTATTATTGTTAATAATTTTTTTTGTATTATTGTTAATAAAATTGTATTATACAGAAAGCATCGTAGAGCAGGCACTGATAACGTAGTTGTAGTCTCAATAATTGGGAAAAGTTCATTGAACATGGCTGGCTTGAAAATGAAATCAATCGGAAGATTATTTCCACTGGAAGGGCGCCCACCGGGTGAGGTCAGTAATTGTGTTACTGTTTCTATACAGGGTGTTTCAGGATTTGTTGTTTTACTACCAAAAAAACTTTAATTGTAAAAATTAGGCATATAGTAGTACAAAAATACAGGCTGTAAAGGATTACTTATTTTAAGATATAAAGGGTGATGATAGTTAATTAAGGGATTTTTTTTATTTTATTTTGGCGCAATTTGACCGGAAAAAGTTTGATAAAGTAGAAATTACATGGCGTGTGTACACAATTAAATAAGGAAAATAAAATAAATAGCAATATACGCTTCTCGGTCTAAAACACCCTGTACTTATTAGCAAAATTTAAAAGCAAAAATTAGCTAATTCAATTTATTTATAGACTTTGATCAAAGGATCCTATGATGAACAGCATCGAATCATTTACCTTCATTTGTACAGTTTGTTCGATACGGACATTTTGTTAGAAAAGTTAGAGGAACTTTACCGTGACAAAGGTTGTTTTGAAGACTTCCTGGAGACTAACAATGACATCAAAACGTCTTTTTGTCGATACTGCTTGCTATTGTTTTACATTAGCCACATTGTAATTCTATCACATCCAGGAACGTCTTTCGACAACAGTTACATTCAGTGTTTCAAAGCACTGGATTTACTAAGGTAAATTGGCATTCAATCATTCAACTCAAGCCGCTAGAACTGCGTAAATTGCAGCAAAAAGATGTTCGAAGAAATTTGCGATTGCTTGAAATCACTGGACATGTTAAATCCTGAATGGGTTGCCAATGGACGACCCTGCACCCCAAGAATAATTTTCTACTTTGAAAGAACGCATGCTGTTAAGATTGGCATAAAAAAGCTGGAACACAATCTGGAAGACAGAATATACCATATTCTCAAGAAAACCAGGATAATTACCACCAGTGGGTAGGAAGTAAATCGCCTAGTAGATCAATGTTAAATATCTACAGCAGCATTACTTATTTTATAGGTGCACACTATTTTCGATTCCTCTGAACGAAGAATTTGTCTACTTAGCTGAAAAAATGCCAGAGGATCCTCTGAGCGAAGCCGTAAAAGGAATAATCCGCGACTGTCAGCCAGGCGGTGCGATGCAACTTGATATGCCATTCTCAACTGAGTCTCATTTAGAAAAAGATTTTTATAAATTTCTACTTGTTCATGTTCAGCGTGCAAAAACTAAAGGTTTCGATGATACCGTTTCTTCGTCCAGACATCTGCATGCGCCCTCACATTTCGAAGTAAAAATCGGTTGGGTGTCTTTACTATTGCTAACCGTTTTGACTTGCAGCTTCCATTATTAGAACATTGGATAGAAGCAACTAAATGTTTGTACAACTTAATTATTACTGAAGAGAGGCCAATGCCATCTCTTTACACAGATACGCGGTTTTCTGAGCAAAGGTGTCTGAAAGTGCTACCATTGGCTGTAGCGCGGTATCAGGAAGGCTTACCCTCGCATTACGCGCAAAGTGAACACGAAGCCAGATTAGCAATTGCTTTGAACCTTTTTAGGTAAGCATTCACTGGCTGTTTACATTATTTTTAGGAAACATTTTTGCTTATTAGGGCGCAAGCCAGAGGACCAAGATATCCGCAGTATGAAATGAAACTTGAGATGGAATGTCACGCGCACTGGTCAAATGAACGACAGCAATGTGAAGCAGCTTCAATGACTGGAAATCCTTGCAAACTTCCAAAACATCCCGCTGACCAAGAGCATATGAGCGGATTTATCTACAAGTGTAAGCTGTTCCTCACTAATGCTTGTTTTCACGGTTTGGAATTTGATCTTTCTCTGTTTCAGCTGTATGTGATTGCGGACGAAAGACTGCCGGCAGAGATGATCCTTACACGGCAATTCGAGCCAACTATATATTTTACCAGCAAATAGCGGCGGAATGTGTTTGTGCCGATTTGAAGCGAATAGAGTTTCCGATATTTGAGCCTTCGATAACCGAATTTAAAGCTGCCACAATTAGTGAATCGGACGACCTAACGCCGGTACTTTCGGATAGAACGGTTCCACTCTCCCCAGAAGTAAAATTGGAGGTATGTTGGGTGCAAATGTCTGGAGAAAATCCTATCAGAGATTCGCGGGGTGGAAGCAAGATGGTTCAAATATCTTTTTTTTTCAATTTTTTTAATATTTTCAATTTTCATATCAATTTTTCTTTGTATTGCTACGATCTGACCAAAATTTCGTTCGAAAAGCCTACTGTTTTTCAATAATTTTGTTGCTTGCTAAATGCATTTGCAATACAATATAAACGCCTGTAAGATACAAACTGTGCAGTACCTGATACATCTTAGTCAGTTGAGTGTCTTTTAATAAATTAAATATTTTTTGATTGAAAAGTCGCTGGTAAGGCAACCGAGTACAACGGAGTACTTACCTGGCATGCTCACCTTAAGTTCTCCTCCAGGACTACTTCCAGTATTCTCAAGTTGGTCGCTTGTATGTTTGGGCCCTTCTTCTATATATAGTCATAACGTAGGTATGTACCAATTGTGTTTAAATCGTTCCATCAGCCAAATCACTGGTGTATTTTTAATCGCTATTTTCTGAGACAAAACGTATTTTATAGGCATTTCCGAATCCTATCATCCCGGATTCATGAGTTTCACAAATTATCTTTTGCCATGGGACGTGACGGTTGGAATGAAATCGAAAAAGGCATGGCCTGCAATTGGAAAATACGCAACTAGAGTAAAGAAAGGAAAACCGACAACTACCGTCCCCCAGTCCGTGAAAGTATTTATTGGTGTTGAATATGAATGTCCATCAGGGCATCGGTGAGTTAAGCGCATCTTTACAAAAACATGTATTCCAAATTGTAAACTGTTTCAGCTTCATGTTATCCGCACCGGATAGATTATTAAAAGCTACTCCGGGAAGTCTTGTTAAAGATACTGGCCTTAAAATTGCAGAGTCCGATATGCCACTGTACTATCAATGTTCGTGCAGGGCAGGAAAAATTGCCCAATTGATGCGAATTCATGTGGTTACTCCAAAGGCTCCGGTCTATTGCACTTTAAATCCAAAGGTACATTACTGACGAAGTCTAAACAATTTCAAAACAGGCTAAATCAATAGTCAAAGTATTTGGCTCATATTTCAAACATTTTCAGATTCAACCAGCTGCGGGAGCCCCAATATTCATTTGCACCAACGATGGACCGATTAAGCTCACTCAGTCCGCATATTGGGTGATGCGACTTCCGTTTGTGTATGTAGCTGATACTGAACATTACCAACAAAATTTGACTGGAAAATTGTTGTCGGGCACATTTGGTGTGGTTGAAGCAGAATAGAAACACAGAAAATGCCGCCTAAACTAAACAACAGCTCAACAAAATCAATGTAACACTGACAAATTTGGACCAACTTTGGAACTGGATAAATTCTAACTGCAACGGCCGAGTTTATTTCTGTTTGAAGCGTTTTTTAGTGCAATTCCTTGTGTTTTGCAAAAAATGGTGCTTCAGATTAAGTTTCTACAGGGCGACGAATGAATCAATGCAAAATTAGTGAAAGTTGCACATGTTCTGAGTACGACAAAAAACTTTGTTTTATGTTTGAATGACATTAAGATGGACCTCGTATCTCGAAAAAAGTTTTTGAATAAATATCCTGCATGTTATTAGTACCTACAATAAGAATAATCCACAAAATGATAATCTTTAAAAAAATCCAATAGTTTAGTTGCAACTTTCCTTGTCGTTTATTCTTAATCACCCTGTAAGGCTTGAAGAATACTGTAATGAATGTATAAGTAAAGCCTAAATGTAAATAGAGTCGATTAAAACTGTTGCATTTTTAGAAAGAAAAAACTGGTGACAACTCGATTCGATATAGACATAATGTAAAATGTTGATTTGTTAGTTCAAAAATGTATAATTTAAGATCTACGACGAGTTCTTAGCTAATAAAAAAATAATTTAACTGGATTTTTTATAAATCGAAGAAATATTTTGCTTTCTAATAACGTATATTTGTTCCTAGTTACAACACACAGAACTTAAATATCAACATAATGATTCGAGAACTTAAAACCACAAGATTATATCACAAAACAAATAAATATATAATACCATAAACAAAAATTGAGCGATAATAAATAAAAAAGTTAGTATGTAATGAAATTAAACAATGTTACTTAAATTTATACTGATTTTAAATGTATAAAGTGAGCTTTCACTTTATTTGGGAAATTCGCCTACTGCCTACTATAGGAAAACCGTTACCGTTCCACACCTTTATCGCATCCAAATTAATATGCGACTGGTAAAACCCAAAATAAAATAGTAACTAACAACGGAGAATAAATATATCATGTCGACAATAGTAAATTGTAAAATATAACAGATCAACACTATCAACCAAATTAAAAATTATATTAAGAGATTCAAACTTTACCTACATAGCGCTGTGAATAAGGAATTGAGCATCGCAAATAACATTTTGAGAGGCCCCATGTATTTAGTATTTGGACTGTTTTTTAGAAAATACAGAAAAACAACCATTGGTATTCCTTAACGACAGTAATAAGCATTTTTTTAACTCGTAAAAAATGTAATATAAAATTATGTATAAAAGAGCATTAGAAATTTGTTGCAAAATGAATTGAAAAACGTACATTTTAGAAAACTACTGAAAATAAATAAGAAGCATTTTGCAATCAAATACAAACTGCAAAAAATTGAAACAGTTATTTACGATCTCTTTTATGATAATGTTTACCCCAATGACAATAAACAAGCCTAGCGAGTATTAACGATAGAATATTAATGTTATATAGGGACTACTTTCGTATACAGGTCTTCTAGGTAAACAGAGTATTTTTGTGTTAATGTATTCAATCCATCTCGGAGATTCTCTAAAGATTTGCTAAGTTTCTCAAATCGACCGTCATTCTTTGGCTGCTTTTTGTGAACCAACATAGTATATTTGCTGAGTTCCGGGGTGAATCTGTATGGTAATAATTTATGAGCTTCTAAGCGTTCATAAAAGTCATCATCTTCTCCGCCCCAACCATAAAACGAATTGGACATGCCATTCACTTTCCTGAATTGATCCGCTAGAATCGCTATCGCGCCTCCAAATAATGTTAGATACGGTAAATTGTATCTGAAGGTATCCAGACTACTGGACATGTGTCTAGGCCTATTTGAGCATCCATATAGGTTTCCAGTTGTTAGTGGGATGAGATCTACGTCATGTAAAATCAGACAGGAGTAATTCAATGCAATCGCCAGATGAGCCCCAAAGTTAATCATTTTTGCTCTATTGAATGGTAGAGTATCATTTTGCTCAGCCAGTATTAATCTGTAGTGAATATTCTGATTCTGGAGGAACTTATGCATGTATTTAACGAACACATTTAGCTGTTCAGTTCGGTTTCTATATGGGATTATAACAGCCGTTTTTATCAGTGGTGTGCAGTGTCGTGGAATGTACTCACCTCCCGGTAGGGGCTGTACAAAGTAACTGGTTTTCGTGATTTTACTTACAGGGATTTCTTGGTTATTCAATATCACATTTCGATAAGTACAATTTTTCGATCTGAGCAAAGCAGTTCCAGGCGCCCTAAGAACGATTTCTTTGATTGCATTTTCCAGCGTAACATAGTCGTAATGGCGTGCATGTCGAGCTGGAAAGTAAACTGCTACGAAAACTGCAGTCACGCACAGTAACTGCACGCATTTTGTTAGCATTTTCTCCTCTTAAAGCCCATTATTTAAAGATCTATTTCCTCCATTTATTTTGCTTTGATATTTTGAGGTTAAAACAATAAAGCTGCCATTGCTGTCAAAAGATTTAATCACAGATCACAGAGGTTTTTTTGCTTTTTTCACTCTGTAATCTGTGGATTTAATGGAAAATGCGCAATAATGAGAAAAGGAAAGTTTTGCAAGGAAGGCTAGCTATTTCTACAGAATTTGCTTTTGCCGCATTTATTAACTTACTTATATGATAAATATTATTAAAATGCACCACTTTCGGAGATTTTAATGAAATAAATGTCATTTGCGCACTGCATTATTTTCTCAGCTATCATACATAATATGGGGGCTGATGTAATAATAATAATTAAGAATACATTTTTGCCAATATCATATTTAAAGGAAAAAATAATTGAATTTTACAAAATTACTATGAAAAATTGACCATTTGGATGATCTTTTTTCTTCAATTTTTCCTTTTAAAATTAGAGAAGCAAATTTAATAGCCTTTACGAACACGCTAATGCGCCCATTGATCAGCATATGAAAAGTCGGACGCAATGTACCAAATACACCTGTCTATCTATGCAAGTACATAGATCTACTGACCCAAACTAACGCAATCGAAACCACTATAAAATCTTTGAATATAAAACTAGTTAGTTTTATATTCAAAGGATAAAATTAAGGCCGTGCACGTCCTAAATGTGGCAGAATGGCCAGTAGAAAATATCGAACTTCTCTGGACCCATGCGGATGAACGAAGAGAGCGTGTTTTACAGTGTTTTTGATTGTTAAAACTGAAAAAGTATTTTGTAAAAAACACACTGAGTTTGCATTATTTTACAAACAGCATACTTATTCCATACATGTACCTATGTGTTGAAGTTAAAACTACACTTACCCGGCTTTTGGTGAAATTTCGACTGGAAAGAAGCTAAATTTCCCGCATATTCAATCAATATAATGATGTTTACTTTCTAATATAATTAGGTTTAAATATTCCACATTTTTTCAAAAACTTCCCGGATAAACGATTAGAAACTGACATCCGCTGACAGCGATTTTGGAAAACTTTAGTGTCAACGTTGCCAAATGATTACATTCATTAATCAGACGTCGAATTGTTTCTTGTCAAACGTGTCAAACTCACACTAACGCCATTCAAAATTAGTGAGGTAAGGGTTGTTTGGGTGCATTGTTTATTTGGATTTCTTATCAAAACAAATTGTTCGGTTACTCTAAATTGGTTCGTTTGAATTAAGCTTGCTTTATTTAATAATTTTTTTTAAATTACTTTTGTGAATGCGGTTTAAATGATGTGCTAACGAATGTTACAGGCACCACAGTTCTGGTGACTACTTATTAGGGCGCCTGTAGTAGTTTATCTTTGTTTTCCAAACAAGTGTGTGAAATTTTCTTCATATGTTGGCCCCCGGGCTGAGAATTGTGCGAGGACCTGATTGGAGTTGGGACAATCAAGGTACCAAAAACTGCATTTTTCATATCATTTCATTTCATAGACTAGTATCATGAAATGTATTTTGATCCTTGTGGACAAGATAAGGATTAAAATGTAATTTGTTATCAATAAGACTGAGGCTGAGTAATTCGATCCACTGAGTAATTTATACAGGGAATAATCTAAGAAAACATTTATTTAACTTTTGCAATTTATGTATCCTATATCACGTAGCTATTTGGTATTCATAAAATAGTTTTTAAAAATTTCCCATGAATTTATGACTTGTTTAGATGGTGGAGAAGGGCATGTTGGGACCGTATGTGAAATTGGAAAGGCTGCCATCGGAGAAGTTGGGTGTCCTGATAAAACTGTGGTTGTTCAATGGGACAGTGGGAGCAGAACCAACTATCGAGTGGGGTATATGGGAAAATATGACCTAAGAGTGATCGATAATGCCCAAATTGGTAAATATTATTTAATTTGCTTGATTCAAAGCCGGAAAGTCCGTATACGAGCAATAGATAATTTAAGAGCTCGGGAATGTTTTCTGAAGAACTTTGGCATAAGAAGAGAAAAAAATAATTAAAGAGTTAAAATGGAGATAAAACCAATGTGGCCAAGACCCATCCAAATGTTTTTAAATGCCAAAGTAAATTCCGTTTAACCAATAATCAAAAGTATTGGTTTAAAAATATATTAATCACCCACATTTTATCCTAGAAGTACTGAATCCGCTATCCAACTTTGCATAATTGTAGTAGTACCTACTTGAATCTGCTATTTAACTTCACATATTTTCTGTTTTACGCACAGTTTACACACGCTCATAAATTTTCTATAAGAATGTTTTTCTTTGAAGGTGTTAAGCATACTAACATTGTATGCGACAGTTGCAATAGCCAGGGAATTTCCGGGATGAGATACAAATGCCTGGTTTGCCACGATTTTGATCTGTGCTACATATGCTACCATGGAAATGCACATGACGCTTCTCACCGATTCAAAAGATTTGATACAGCTTCATCAGCAGGGTTAGCATTAATTACAGTACATTGATTTATTTTTCCACCATCTACTATTTTTAGGGTTGAATTGCCCACTAGACAGAACGCAAGAAAGTGTGTCTTAAGTGGAATTTTTGTAGACGCTAAAGTGGTAAGAGGCTACAACTGGGAATGGGGCAATCAGGACGGCGGAGATGGTAAGACACCAGTCTGGATAACCAATTTGCTTGGATTACCATATTTACTTTCAGGAAAAATTGGTAAGGTTGTGGATATACGTGGATGGGACACTGAAAGCGCGAGATCTGTTGCGAAAGTGCACTGGTTTTCTGGCAAAACGAATGTATATAGATTGTCCCATAAAGGGATTTGTGATATTCAGTACATAGAGCCATCGTCAGGGGGCAACTACTATCCAGACCATCTCCCCATTTTAGGTAAAAAAGCTCAATTTCAACCGGGCAATATTTTATTTTTGCTGACATTTCAGGCCAAATTCTGGAATTAGCGGCTCCAAAGCCATCTAGGCCTGCCCCATTGCTATTTGGTCTTGGTGATAAAGTTCAGGTTTGTGTTACTGTCGAGCAGCTCAAAGGATTGCAACAAGGACATGGCGGTTGGAATCCGAAAATGGCAGATGTAATTAACAGCGTATATTAATTGCAAAAAAATCCAATAATTATTTAATTTGATTTCAAGTATCTCGAACAGATTGGAACAGTACATCGAATAACTGACAAGGGAGACATAAGAGTTCAATATGAAGGATGCAGCAACAGATGGACCCTTCATCCAGATTCTTTACAGTTGGTTAACAGTTTTAATGTAGGCGATATTGTCACTTTTATAACCGATATTGAAACTGTGAAGGAACTGCAAAAAGGCCACGGTGACTGGATACAAGTGATGGAAAATGTTCGTAGCAGTATGGCGTGTTGTTGGTTTTATTACTCTTCATGTGTCATTTTTAGTCTTTGGGGAAATTGGGCAAAGTGTTAAAAGTATACTCAGATGGCGATCTAAGGGTCAAACTAGATGGGCATGTTTGGACACTGAATCCCATGTGCGTTAAACGAGTACCTGGAAGCGCAGCTGAATTGGCGAACACGATGAATGCAAATCAAAGACTGGAACCAACAAGTAAGTAATGGAATAAATACGCAAAAACACTAAAACTATGCATGGACTGTTACAGTCCAATGGCACCCCGAAGTGCATAATGCAGCTAGTGGGGCATCAGCTAGTACATCCGCGGATTCGCTGGTTCTTGCGGCCGCGCAGGGACATTTGGATGCCATAAAACTCCTACTGGATGGGACAAGTCGTGACATACTAGACGCTCGAAGCAATGGGAAAACAGCTTTGCAAGTGGCATCGCATCAGGGGCACTTGTCTATAGTCAAACATCTTTTACGAGCCGGCGCTAATGTAAATGCGAGCGACTCGGACGGAGATACATGTTTGCATTACGCAGCTTTCGGAAATAAACCTGAGGTGAGTGTTGATTATTTCAAGTGAGTGTGTTACACCTCGTTATTAATTTCTTGATATCCAAGGTGGCATATAAAACACTAATAGGTACATTCACGGGTTTTGTCTGTCCATTATATAGATATTGAACAAGAAAATTAAATTGAAAAACGAGCACTTAGTGATACTCGCCAACTAGTTATTCGGAAGTTTTATGAAAACTTAAATGTCTTTACAGTTTGCCAAGTTGATTTATCGAATAGCTAACTAATAGTTAATAATTATTTTCAGATTCTCAGCCTTTTACTAAAAGCTGGCGCAAACTTGAACGCCGTTAACCGATGTGGGTGCACGTGTTTGCATGTGGCGGCTCATAAGCAGCCTGCAGAATGTGCTCAACTTCTTCTAGCCGCCGGCGCCGATCCCAATATACTTGATATGTATGGGGATACGGCGCTACACGATGCCATCGGCAAAGACTCTCTTCAGATAATTGAACTCATATGTACCACTCCAGGTAATTAAAAACCATAAATAGCTAAGCTTTATTGTTTACAAATTACCAAATCGCTTTCAACGTTACGACCATAAAATTCGCCAATCTTTTTAACTGCAGTTAGCCCAATTAAAAATCGGTTTCGAATTTCGTTTGAGGACAAGAAACCCAGTATTGATAAAAATCGCTTTTTAAGAAAGATTCATTTCCTTGCAAATAAATAAACTCAAGAGTCAAAAATATAACTGTTGAAATTGTCTAAATATGCGCCATTTTTTCCATTTTCTTAGTTACCACACCAAGTTTGTATTTCGTTTCAAATAATTTTGAGAAAATCGTTTAAAAATCTTTGTTAATCTCAATATAATTCGTAGGTGTCGATTTTACTTTGCGCAATAAAAGAGGATTTAACGTGCTGCATCACGCTGCCTTGAAAGGCAAAAATGCGGCAACCAAACAACTTCTCCATCACGCTCGTCAATTGGTGGACGTGAAAAAAGACGATGGATTTTCCGCTCTTCATTTGGCTGCTTTGAACGGACACAAAGACGTTGTAGAGACGCTGATTAAAACAGGCAAAGCCGAGATCGATTTGCGAAATAATCGGAACCAAACCGCCCTTTTACTAGCTGTTAGTCAAGGTAACTTATTTTTTAATGTTAATAATAAAGGCAATTTCATCTTATATTTTTAGGCCATTGTGATGTAATCGAGTTGTTGGTAAGCTTAAAAGCAGACATTCATGCAACAGATGAAGATGGTGATAATGCACTTCTTATCGCATTGCTGAAACGAAGTCAACTGGAAGGTGAAGTTACGGAATCCAGCCCCGCTATTAACTTGATTTATCAAAACACCAAAGTCCATGATCCTGGCCGTGCACTTGCAATCGCCTGTTATTTCATTGAACAGGGTACGAACATTGAGGCGGCAAACAATAAGGGACAAACGGCGTTTAATTTAGTGCGCGACGTATATTTGCAACAACTTTTCTCGTTTTACATCCCCACGACTGAGACGAATGACACTGAACTTGCTCAAGTGCTTTGTGAAATTGTTTCCTTGTCCATCAATCCGGACAGAATAGGGTACGGCAATAATGGGACCGAAAATAATCCTGTAATAGAAGAACAAAAGACTGCACGAAAAAGTCGAATTACTGCGCTAGAATCGAGTAGTACTTTGCAAGGAAATTCGCCCACCCATAAAGGCCCGCTTTATCAGAACGAAGATGTTCTGACTAAAAACACCGAATGTTTAGTTTGCTCGGAAGAGACCGATGAAAATGTCACGTTAGAACCCTGTGGTCATAAGCCTGCTTGTGAAGACTGTTCAGCACGCATGAAAAAATGCCTAGTTTGTGGGGAATTCGTGCAGAAACGTGTGACCAAAGATGGTCATATCATTCCCGGGAAAAGCCGACAACCCAGTGCCGAAAGGATGAAATATTTAGAAAGCAAAATAGCTGAAATTGAAGAAAGCAATGCCTGCAGTATTTGCATGGAACGGAAGCGAAACGTAGTGTTTCTTTGTGGCCATGGTACTTGTCACAAGTGCGCGGATACGCTCAAAAGATGCCATATGTGTAGAAAAACTATTACCAAGAAGATTCCTATTTACTGACTCTGAGTATTATGTTTATTTGTTGTATCAGTTTATAGATTTAAGCAAACATTTATCTTATGTATCGTCTATATCAAGTAACTGTGATTTATGTATAACTTTGTGTCATTTTTTCCACTAGAGTTTTAATGGAATACATTTTTACTATAGACAAAGATATTTTTTTCTTCCGTCCTATGGAACGCAAGAAAATATTTATAGTCAAGTTATAATAATTTCCTTTTGGATCTTAAAGTCATCTTCCTCTGATCATCATCATCATCATCAACTTAGTCTTCACGCTAACTTAAAGGCCAGCGTTCGCATTAACGCCCAAAAATGACAGGTTTTAAGCGTAATTTTTTTAACCAACGTCGAATCATTTGCGATTTTCTCACATATCTCCACATTGTTACGACTCAAATTAATTAATTCTTTATCAAACAAAATCATTTGCAGTCACACCTTGATATTAAGCGCTCAAAGTGAAACAAATACATTTATTCGTTATTCAAATTATACGTATATAACGTGATGTACAAAATAAATCGTAATAAATTTAATATATCGACACTGACAAAACTTGTGTATGTTCGAAACATTACAGACGTAATATGCGTATCTCTGATATGCTCCCTGAAGCTAATAATCTCTAAGTAGTCCACTTTCGCTCAATCGATATAATAAAGCTATTCCAAGTACAGCGAGAGTGGGATCAGTTTTGACATTATTATTAATCCCGAGGGGAGAATGAAGACTATAATTACTGAATAGAAATGCCCAGATCCGCTCGTTGCAACTTTAGGAGTCCAGTTAAACTTCACAAGTTGCTAAGCCGCTTATTACCTTAACAAATCGAACCGTAAGACACTATCGGACAAGTCAATGTCTAAAATTGCTTAAAAAATTATGAGTTTCTCGTACAAAGTTCATCACACAACTTCTTCCAGAGTCAGAAGGTCACCACGTTTCACAGTTAATTTGATACTTATTGCATAAAAAGATCTTATACCCTTTTAAGCCTATAAGTGTAACACAGTTAGTTAGTTAGTTAGTTCATATTGAAGAACTGATCAACTGAAACATTGGTCAAAATATCATCTGTATTGAATAGATCATCATCTAAACCGATTAATCCTAATGCGCCATCATCTATGGAAGGTAGTCCAGGATCGTCGCTTTTCTGAACAGAACTGGAAGGATCAGCCAATGCAGAGTTAATCGTGTCAGCTTGTATGGTATCATTGGAAGATAATGGTTGTGATAAAGCTTCAGTATTCCCAATTTGATTCTGAATCATCTTCTCTAAGTTTTCCAAATCGCTCTGCGATATATTGTTATCAACTTCCGGCACGGCCAGTGAAGACATCAGATCACTTGCCACATCGAAATTCAAGTCTTCTTCTTGAGCTTTGCAATTCTCATTAACCAATTTATAAAATGTGGTCATATCATCTGGTGTCAGGTTTTTGATTAATTCCTTAATCGTGCTCATTTCCACCCGGGAATTATCAATGAGATATCCCAAATTATCTTTACTTCCTCCAGCTCTTTGTAAGGCCGAGTTAGACGCTTTACTTGATGACGGCAAGCTGGATTTGTAATCAAATTGTGGTAGCGGTGAGTTGGATGCTCCCGCCATAGGATCGTATGTATTCGAGTTGGGCAGAAGTTCATCGATGGTGGAAGATACTCGCATATTGTGAGATTTAGCAATTTCACTCGCCTGACCACCTGCTAAAGCAGAAAAAATCCAGATGTTTTATTTCGATTTTGACAAATTCGATTCAAATTGACTCATTCATCGATGATCATTTTAAACACTTGTAACTTATGTCTTGCGTAAAACAATTTTTGTAAACCATTTGATCTGACTAACGACTTTTGAGATTCACTATTGCAAAATTTTACTGTTACTGTAAACAGACGTTACTTAATACTAATAAACGGCAAATCAAATCTCGCATTGCTGTACGAAATTTTGAAAAAAAACTCACAAAATTTCATATAAACATGTAGGCTCTAGAAAGTCTGGTTTCCAAGGTAGATGAATCGAAGCAGAAGAAAATGCTGGCTGTTTAATATTACTTGAACTAATTTTTTTTGTTAAAACTAACTATTTAAAATAAAATATAAGTAACTTACATTGACTGGAGGGACTATCAGCAGGTTCTACCACCGTATAATTTTCATGATCAGGTGCACTCTGTTCATTATCGAAATCAGTCCAAAATTCATGCGGATTATTCTTGTACCGATAATCCAGCTCCATTATTTTAGGACCAGTTTTCAAAAATTTATTAGAGTTTGCAGGACTGACTGTTCGGCCACCCTTCCTTGAATTGTGATGTTTTTGCATGTACGCTATCAGGAAATGAATTAGTTTGTTGATGATTTTCGTTTGCTTGGAATATTTTAGTCTTAGAGTGTTCATTTCTCTCCACAGAGCGGCATTTTCTTGTCTCAACTTGGACATGTCTGTTGCAATGGCATCACTTTTGTCTGTAATATTCTTAATAGTTCCAACTAGTTCCTGAACAATGGGCGCATGAGGAGAGTTTTCGTTTGGTGTGGGTTTAGTTGACTGCGATCGTCCTGGAATATTACTAAACTGTAGCAAATCGTTAAAATATTGCAGCATTTCACTCAAGCTATACCTGAAGGTACTTTCCTCTTGATCAGTGGCAAAAGCTGTGGTACATCCTTCAGAAAGAACGGATGTGTAAACTGAAATTCGTCCCTTTCGATGGATTGACTTTTATGAAAACCGTACAAATTCAATTGCCTTACGAAACTGGACAACTGGTTGTGTTTAAAATATTTGGGAAGTGTTTGCGAAATAAAACCCAACTGGTCATGCATCTCAAAACCGTCTCCACTGCTATTCCAACTGATAATCTCCTTATTGCTCTCATCATTCACTATTATCCAGAGCTTCTTAATAAATAGGGGTACATTGGAGGACAGTGCATTGATATTTTGCGGGCTATCAGGGTTTACAACTACGCTGATAATTGGCATTTCTTCTCCATTTTCCACATTTTCCTCTAAACAAGGGTCTTCTTCAGCGTATTCGTTTTTAATCTGCGAACGTTTCATCTTGCACTAATTTAGGGCCAGAACGTACATTTAAATATACTTAATACATTGTTTACAACTTTTTGTAGACTTTGGGGCACTTTCACACATTGGAGTATGATGACAATATCGCTATTGGGATCTGTCAGTCCATTTTGTACAGCCCGGGGATTATCGCATTACTGACTTTTATATGATCATGACAAGGAACGCAAGATGCCCGGGTGCAGTATTGGGGAATATATGCATGCACCGTGAGTTTCCTAGTCAGATGTCAGACAAGGGAAACTCAGAAAATAAAGTAAATTGCAAAAAGGAAACTTTTGTAAATTAGAATTTCAGATGTTCTTTTGCTGATTGTTAAGATTTTGCCAGTCGTTAATACAAGCTATACTTGCGGTCGAGCTAAAGGGCAGTTAATATAAATCATATTAGAGAAACAATATCTATTATTTTTCATTTGTTTTATCATTTATTGTAATGTTCATTTTTTCTATTATAGTGTTTTGCACATAAAACTAAACGAAAATGACTAAATAACAAATGCTTTTAATGTGCGTTACAGCAGTCTGCAGATTTTACATAAGCCCTTTTTCTACTTCTAAACGTTGAAAAGTTTGGAAATTGTAAGAACATAACATAAAATACTACTTAATCTATAGCTTAAAGACCAATTTCCGCCCGATATTTAGGTAAGCTGCATCCGGTTTCCTTAATAATGCTAGAAGCAGCATAAAGTCCAATTTCTATGCACTTTCGAATGGGGCTAGATGTGACCAGGCCTGCCAGAAAGCCCCCAATAAATGCATCTCCTGCCGCTGTGGTATCTTTTATTTCAGATTCTTTTATTGAGGGGGGTTTCATCTCAATCGACTCTTGACTAGAATAACAAATTACTGGTCGCGAACCATCAGTGATAACAAAAGTCTTCCCGATATTTCTTCGCGCACTATCTTCAATTAGTTCCAAAGCCATTGCTTCGATTGAGCTGTAGTTTAGCAGCTGCGAAAGAGCAATATATTCCGCTTTATTGCCAAAAATCACATTCGAATGATCTACTAGATATTTGATCGATTCTGGAATAATCGAAAATATATAAGCACCGCACAGATTAAAGGCTAGAAGTTTTCCTTCTGCTGCGCATCGCTTAACAAGATACTGTGCACATTCAAACCGATTGGTCAGAAAGTAGGCTTCGATCAGTATGATGTCAGAGTTGTCGAAGAGGCTCAAGAAGTGGGGATGAGCAAGCAAAGAAGACAGTGGCAGAACTTCAGCCGCCCCTATATGAGCCACTAGTGATCGATAGAGCCCACTTACCAAAGCTACAATTTTACCAGTTGGTAAACCTTCCTGGGTAATGTACCTAGAAATTTCATATATTAAAATTATCAATGATTTTTAGTGTTTGGAAACATTTTTTCCAATTATTTGAATGCAATTTTTCGAAAATCTTAGACAATTAATTGTTTCCGAGTAAAAGGGTTGATCAAATTAAAGTCATAAAATTAAGAATATTTTGCTGGAAAGAGCTGGAAAAACCATATTTAATGACTTTTAAAAGTTTCAATTTATAGTGGTCAAAAACTCCGTTTCCATAAAAAAATGCGCATATTGTTAACTTCCAACACGAGGGCCTGATAAACTGGAAAGTTGCCGTCTCAAACTTTGCCAAAAAACATTTAAAACTACAAGTTTTTTACTAACGTCCAACACAGAAAAAGGCATGCAATTTTCTCAATTAATCAAACACTCTGTATTTACATTGGTGGGGTAAATTGAGACTTTAAAGTTGGCGAGACTGCTATCTGTTAGCCAGCTTTTTGACACTTGCTTTCGTTCTGTAATGTTTATTTACAAATAGTGCGCTACCTGGTCGAAACAGCATCTGATTCAAGTATATTTCGCAAAATATCAGCCTCCTGATCTTGACCTGTGGACCCAAAAATAGCAACATTACACCGCTTGTGCATGATCCACTGCAAAACCCTTAGAGAGTTTTGACAACATCCTCCAGCTGTAACCTGCTGATCTGAGCTGTAACACCGATTATTCCGCTTATTTGGGTATGTTAATTTTTTGCAAAACTACTTGCCCTTCGATGTCTTTGCTTAGCATGCACATTTCCTCTTTAGTTATTTCTTTTTGGCTGTCGATTTGCAGGTTATATTTGTCTAGCAATCGTGCTACTTGGCAGGAGGAGTAAATTGTAATATCCAGCAAAGGATTTCCGAAAGCTAAAATGCTTTTCATTTTGCCAAATATTTGCTAGAACAATTTTGGAGTCGGGAAACCCCAGAGCGTTTGTCGCGTTTGCTACGATCAGCTGACAGATGTACGCAACAAACTACAGGCTGTAAATCGAACAAACTAGAGAAAGAAAGAACATATTTGCATTTGGACACACAATCGTATTTTCCCTATCTTGGCTTTTAATCTTCGTTTGGTTTATCTAGTTTTATATCTGTGTGTATTACATATCCAGCGGAACGCAGCTTGTTGCTCTCTGTTCAGTCTTTCCAGTGTTTCTTACTAGTTCCCACCAGCCGAATTCGGTAAGAATAGAATTGATGAATCACTTGTGTATATTTGTTGATTATTTACTGCGACGTAGTCGGTCTAGTTGATTTAGACCATTCTTATTGTCATTGTTCATAGCATTCACTTCAGCCAACGGATCCAATCGAATACTAGTTTTCTTAAATTCTGATTGGTTCAAAGAACACTCAGAAACAATGACTCACATTTAGAATCTAATCAAGTTTTTTGCTGACCGATATGCTAATCGTTAGCTGAGCGAATTGAATGGAGCATACGGGGCAAGGTCCTTCAATTCCTTCTTATTTTATACAAAACCACATTTATAATATGTGATTTAAAGTCCAGCTACATTATTTAAAGTCTACGTTGAAATCATCAGATGAACATGCATAGTGCAAAGCAAGATATTGCTTTAAAATTGAGGGTTGTACGATTTTTGTAATAAATTGTAAAAGTTATTACCGCCGCACATATTAGGCAAAATATGAGGACAAACTCAATTCCTAATAATGAACTAATAATTCTTCCTAATGATGGAGTAATCTTACTGTTCACACCTCAATTTCTTTCAGGATTTGCGTCAGAAATATTGGAAAAATAATAATTAAAGCGTAAAGTTGGTCATAGCAAAATTACTCACATAGTTTAATGCTTTTAGGTTTGTAACGATGGCTTCTAAGGATGCTTCTGTGGACCGCCAAATATCTGAACAACCCGTTTCGGTTCAGGATGACTTGGAACCGGTTCCAAACAGCCCCGAAAATGAGTCGTTTGTTGTCATAAAATCAGCTCAAGATCTTGCTAGTATTGACGACAATGACATACCAGGTACTTTACTAGATCGTTCGCTTAATCTTACGTAAAGTTAGGAGTAAGAGTAATTCTCACAAAAGAAAACGTATAAAACACTCTTGTTTTTTGATCTTCATGTATGTAGACATGACGATTTTTCCATAGCATATTAATTAACTGAAATTGTGTTTTCAGACTTCAGCATGACACTCGAGCATAAAGATATTATCCGTGAAGAACTAGCTCATTTTGAAACGTTTTCTAATCAGCCTCAACCCAGTGTGAACAGCTATGTCTTTGCCATCAACCCTGTAAATGAATCCACCGCAGATTTGAACAGATCGCAAGCACAGTCCATTGAATCAAGCAAACCATTTGCCAAGGGGATTAATAATGAGCTGCCTTCTTTAAGTAGCACCTCTAGTTTTCCTGCCTTACCGCAAATGGCTAATAATGTAAAACTATTTGTTTCGATTTGGGAGTCATTAATTGTTTTAAAAATATACATTTTTTCCAGGAAGATACGGCTATTAGCATCGCCGATTTTAGTCGTAGTGACTTCTGTTCAGAAGGAATTCAAGAAAAAGTCTACCAACTGATTGAGGAAAATACGCATCTACGGGGTATGAACCCCAAAATATATGATTGATGATATTTCAATATTGTGCAATATTATTCTAGCTACCGTAATTCAAAATAATAAGAGCATGAGAGCACAATACGACTTGGTTGTTGCATGGCGAAAGGATGTTGAACGAGTTCATTTAGCCAATAAACAAGCGTTTTTGGACAGAAGCAAACTTATTGAAACTGCAAGTCGTTTCCACTAGGGAAAACACTGGTTGTATAATACTTCTTTGTTTCATTTACAGTTGAAAGATGAAGTGTCCGCGTTGAAGGAAGAAAACGAACTGCTACGTCAACCTCTGAATGCCTCAAAAAGTAAAATTGAAAATGATGTCACAGAATCCGAACTCTTCATCGCCAAGGAAAATATTCAAAAACTTGAGAAAGCTTTCGAACAATTAAATATTGAAAATAAACAAGAAGCTGCTGAGTCGAGCCAAAAAATCAAGCAACTGGAAGAGGCCTTAGCGAATTCGACACAAAAACAGAATGAATTACAAATGTATGCGGGCAAAGTAAAAATATTGGAAGAGGATGTACAGAAAATTACTATTAAAGCAAGTCAGGATCTTTCCTGTGAGGCAGAAAAATTGAAAGGTGTGGAAATGAAACTGGCCGGCTGTGAAGCAGAGCTTGAATCTGTTTTCAAGAAAAATTCCAATTTAGAAAAACAGATGAGTGATAATGAGCAAATTAAGAAGGTCAGTGCTAACCATATAAATTGTTCACTACTTTTTCCCAGAATATAATTACTTTAAAAAGGAAAAATAATACATGTTTGGAATAAAGTTATTTTTACATAAATTCCAGACATTAGAGAGAAAACTGTTCGAATCAGAACAGACTAACGCCCGTAGCCAGCGCGAACTAATGCTTATGAAAAACCAAGTTATGCAATGGGAAAATACTCGCGCGGCTGACACGTGCGAAAAACTTCAGCGCGATTTTGATGAAGTTTTGGCCGAGAAAGCGACATTAATCGCAGAATTGGATACGAAAAAGTCCCAAAGTTTGGACGATCAAGCTTTAATCGAAACACTGCGACAAGAAATTGCCCAAACTCAGCAAATAGTTAAAGTGCACGAAGCACAAGTTGCATACGCAAAAGAAAAAGAAGAAGAGGTCAATATTAAAGATATCGGTTCAGCCGTGGTATATGATGTTTTATAATTTCAGGCGAAAGTCGATGCCTGGATGTCTAAACAAAAAATAGATGCATTGGAGCAAAAATTACAACTTAGCCAAAAAGCGTCTGTTTGTAGCGACGAATTAACGCTTCTACGACAACAACTGATGCAATCTCAGATGGCTCTAACTGATTGTAACCAAAAGCTAGCGATGGCTGAATCAAATATGCTTTCACTTAAAACGGAAAAAGAGGAATTACTGCAGAGGATCGAAAGCAGGCAGGCGCGCGATGACGATATTGAGTTTGCTTTAAAGGCCCAGGTAATATACAATTGTAACTTAACAATTAGTTTGTTTCGTTTGTTTTCACTCAAAAACTTACACGAATTAAGTGTATTATAAGTCAAGGAGAAATTTTCTTTTTCGACGAAAATATAGCCGTTTTTTGCTAGTTATTCAATGAGAAAATACCGCATGCGAAATTTACTTTATTTGCCTCAATTGGTTTTCTCCTTTGTTAATACAAAATTCAGGTGTATCTTATAACTGATGATAACTTTCGTTCATCGTTTTGCTATGAGTAATCTGAAATGTCTTTTTTTTCAGTTGAAAATGTACGAGACAGATTTCACTGCTGAGCGTGAGGCGAAAGAAGACGTTAAACGTGAAAACCGCAGAATTAGTGATGACCTCCAACAACTACACAGACGCAACCAGCAGTTACAAGAAGAAATTGAACATTTAAGGGAACAAATCACACAACGTGGAGGTCAAGTTGCGGAACGTCGCACATCACAAACTTCTAATAATGTAAGGACACTTTATTCTTATTAATTATCAATTATGGATTTGCTCTATACACGTTTAAGTTAAATAGGTAATTTTAGTATAGTGAAAATGACACATCTACTTCAGACTCTAGCTCACTTAAATCTAAACCCGCATATCAGCAAAAGTGTTCTTGATATTGATATTAACTATATAAGGATGGGCGATTTTTTAAATATTCAGCGAGCATATGCAGACTGGTTATCTCAGCATCATCCACTTTTGCTAATTGTAAACTTTGTTCTTTTCAATAGTCGCCTGTAATGGTTAGATATCCATGCCCGATTTGCAACATCGAATTTCGCTCTTTAAAAATGATCCAGGATCATCTGGATAGTGGCATATGTCACGCGCCGTGGTAAGGAGCAGTGCTTACATGCGCTATCCTAACGAGGTTTGTTCCAGTTTAATGGTTGCTTTCATTTTTAATTGCACGAATGCTTGACATTAAACAACTGCAACTGCAACTTGCAGGCCAAAAACATTGCCAGTGTAAATTGAAACCCGTTTTAACATATGCGCTGTGTCCAAGATAAGAAGGTTCTCTTTTCCAGATCCTTCTGAAGAGTTTCTTTCTCGGACTCAAAATAAAACGTGCGTGAAACTTTTCTGTATTTGAAAATTTTTTCTCCATTCTTTACAGACAAAAACTCTTTTTTCGAATAAGAAATTTTGTAGCGTTTTATTATGTTTACTAATTTAGTCTGCTACATTTTTATCTCTAAACGCAGAAATGTTCACAACGGTGTTACACAATAACAATTTAAAAAAATTTCGAACACATAATTAAACTTTATCACGTCATACATCGTTGAATTCAGAATAAAAAGGGGGTTTAAAATTTGTTGTTAAACAGACAGAGCTGTATTTGAAATGAAGTTGATGATGGTTTCTTAGAGGCGAAACGTCGGAACATAAAACTGATAATGTATTTCTCCTGCTGACTTAAAGTTGCTGTGAGAACGTGCAGTCGGTTTGGCTCCAGATTGGTTATTAACGCCCAAAAATAATCTAATCGAAATTTGTAAGTTTTGTTTTTTTTTAATCAATCAGAAACCGAAATTTTACTCAACTTTTTTCCTTTTCCTCAACGTTTTCTAACTGCGCAACTTTATTTCCATTTAAAATCGCCTTCTTATCTTGGACACACTGTAAAGCGAAATATAGACTGTACGCTAAAATCATTACGTTTCACATACGATTAATTTTTGTTATAATTAAAAGAAATACGGAGGTAAAAATTCATTCGTAAAAATGGTTCTTCGGGTTTTGAGTAAAAGCACTGGCGAAGGGAGCGTTAGCATGTACCGCATGTACCATATTGTTTCCGTTTTATAGTTCTTAATATACCAACTATTAAGGTTGTAATAAAAATAAATACATTTTTTAAACGCATATTAATGAATAGTTTTGAAACCGCTTGAGAAAGTTCATGAAGATGGATATTTTTTCAATGCAAGATAATATTCACCTTTGACAGGCAAATCGTTTGTTCCAAATAAAAGTTGTTCCAGGATTCCATTCCATTTGAAATATAAAATGTCTGCAGTTTTCCCTTGTGGTGCGCTGTTTTATTTTCGTAACTACTTAATGGACTATCTTAATCAAAACCGCCGCTTTGCGGGGTATCAAATTAAATCAGCTCTTTTTTTTAGTGAACAGAGAATTCCAATTAGCAATTTCGTCGTTTTTCAATCAATTTTTCGTCAATTTTTAATTTTAGATTGAACTTTTTTGATTTCGGTTAAAGGGTCGTACAACACCTTTAAATATGTAAGGTCATATGGTTATGTGCTAACATAAACCGTGTATATGTTAACGCTCTATATTTTGCATATTGCATAGATTAAGTAGAGCAGCAATAACTTGGCTCTTAAGCTACTATATTGATTTTTGTTTGATAGTCTTTCGATTTTCACGATATAATTAATTGTAAAGGTAAACTTATTAGTTTAATTTTATTTCAGATAAATCGAGGTGCCATTGTGTGCCCCGGTTGTAGTCTTCGATTTAATTCCATCCACGAGATTGAAGTACATGTGTTACGCTGCCCAGACTTCCGTGCCTAAAACACGTTGTTACCGAGTACGGTTTGCGTAAAATAGTTAATATTTAAGGTGTTTAAATATTTAGCGCTTCATATAATTAGAGTAGTAAGTTGTCAAGAACATTCTTCACAACGACTTAGTTACAGCTCAAGTCCATTCAGTAATGGTTTGCTATAGTTTTTTCTGATTCTTCAGTAGTTTTTTATTTAGAGTTGTGTTTATTTGTATGTAGGTATGCATATATGACTTATAAAGATGGTTTGCTTAATAAAACACTCAAGTTGATTTAGGAAAGTTCTAAAGTTGGCGAATCATTAATATGAAAATTGCTTGAATTTTCCAAATAAAGTCCGTTTTGCTATGGTTTTTCGTTGTAGGTGTTATTTTTATTATAGTTGATGTCTGTACCACCAGACTTAGATTAATTTAGTACTATTTACAGGGCATATTCATAGAGTTGACTATTATTATTAAATGTAACTAACTAATATACGCATATTTTTCATTATTGAAATTAACTTATTTTAATTTTTATCCATTTATCCTTACTTGGCAGATAATGGAAATTTACCTTTACATTGTTGACAAAATAAAGAATTTCTGGCCACCAAACTACTGCTTGTGAAAAGTTCAAAAAGCCTCAAAGGCAATACCATTTTCTTCGCAATAAGCGAGGAACTGAATGAGTTAGATAATAAAAATGGTAGATCTTTCTAACATGCAATAACCGAAATTTAGGATCCATTTTGAGCGGTTTGGATCAGCGACTAAAACTAGTTGCTTAAATCGAGAACTTTGAGTTGAACTTCAAAAACACACAAAAATTGGATTTTGGCATTTTTGGAATAAGCTTCAAATTCTATACCACTTCCAGCACGAGAAAGTTTAGAATTTAACGAACCCATTTAAAAGATTGCTAGTCTTCTGAGTCGAATTAACCGAAAAGTACAGGGCATTTTAAGAGTTTCTTTTTTGAACCGACATTCTATTATAACTCGTAACACCCTGTATGTGCATGTTCAGAGGTGTTCTGTGCTGCATACTGAGGAGCTTCTAGGGATAAAAACTACCGGTATACCAAACTACATACTGACCTGAAAAACACATGCAAAATTTAAATTTTTGGATAACATACTTTTTCTATATAAATAAGGAAAAAAAATGGATTTATATTTTTAGATCTTAATTTTAATTTGGAATAATTGCTAATTATTCTATAATAAAATTTGCACTTATAATTTAAAAATATTTCAACCTCCAATGTGTGAAGTCGCCCATGTATGCATCCAAAAACATTAAAATCGACAAAACTGTTCATGTAATAATTATGGACAATGCCAATAACCAGTTGTTTACCACATTAGCTCTATCTCTCACCTACTCGCTCATTTCACTTGTTTGGCCACCCTGTATCGATATTTCTTTCCGTTTGTCATTGTCAACTGGTTTGCTTAGGTTATTTTCTGATAATTTGGAAGCCAGAATTCTAAGTGAATCAATACAAGCTTTTAGTTTTTATGTGATTTCTCGAAATCTGGATCAAATTTATTGATATTAAAGTATTGGGCTTGTTGGAGCACAAACTAAGTGTTTTTGTTTAACAAAATGAGCGATGCCAAGTCATTTTTGCATCAATTTTGCCAGAAGAACAAGGTTGAACCTAGCTTTGAAGTGAGGCCGACCGGTATGTTTTTTCAGCTTTTCACCCATTTGTTTTATTAAATATATTGTTCCTTCAGGTCCGAAGCATCGTCAACGTTTTCTTTGCGAGGTGAGAATTAATGGTCACACTTATGTGGGTGCTGGAAACTCCACAACCAAAAAGGATGCTCAAAGCAATGCTGCAAGAGATTTTGTCAACTATCTCGTGAGAGCAGGATTGGTAGCCCGAGGTGACATTCCATTTGACTTGGATGCAGCTCCTGTACTGCTAACTACCCTTGCAAGTAATGACACTCATTTTTATTTGCCGCATATTTTATTGACCGATTTTTCAGTTGTATTCTGGTCATTTACGATAATTCTTTTCTTTAGGTGAATCAGTAAATGATGGCAATAAGCCTCAGCATCAGGTATTTGAGCAAGGAATGGGCCCGGAAAAGTTGGGCGAAGCTTATCGACCCAGAGGGGCTCAGCAAGATAATTGGCATTACATGGATCGTGCACAGGAACAGCAACGTATGGAAGAAGCAGAAGATTTAGACGTTAATGCTGGCATCCATGGAAATTGGACCGTGGAGAATGCTAAATCAAAATTGCACCAATTTATGCAAACCAACAAGATCAATGCTGATTACAAATACACCCAAATTGGACCCGATCATGCTAGGTTTGTGCTTGCCACCGCTATTCATCCAATTATTATTTTTTCCTTCAGGTTGATTATTTATCAGTTTGCTAGCAATTTTTTTTACGACAGCATACTACAAAAGTGATTGGCAACACTCTGTAGTATGCTATATTTTAATTTTGCATATTTTTGATAATCCTCTGGCGCTTTAAAACGTATTTAAATATAACGAAAAACACCAATTTACCAATTCTACTTGCCCAAAGGATTTTCAAAGTTATGGAGTTCTAATGTGACAAGAATGTAAATCGACTGGAACTCCATGTGGCCTGAATTAACCCAGAACTGTTAAAAGTGTCAAGTGATGAATATTTTATTTAAAATCTTTCCTTTGGTGGAAAGTTGTTAAATAATCTAGCAATTAGCTTGTTAAGCAAGAATTAGAGAGTATTCTTAGCTAATCATGCATTTAGCTAATTTACCCTCTGATGTTGATGATGATAAATACGTATTAAACAGTTCTTGGATTTTTCAGGTTTTTACATAGGAATTCTGGTTTGACTGCTTATTATTAAAAGTGAGTAGAATGAAAAATGTATACTGATCAACCAAATGCTTTTTTTTCAATTTATCATGCACCATCCAGTGCTTTTTTGTCTCATATTTGTTTCTAAATCTGAACACACTTCTATTTATTACAAGGATTTTAATCTAAAAACGAAATTAAGTCAAACCATCCACTTACACATATTTAAAACGAAAATGTACCGGGAGAACAATTGAGTTTTAATAATTCTGCAGTTTTCTTCAACCAGGATGTCCTAATAAACTCTTTGAGTTTCTCAATGGAAATGTGATTTTTTCTGTCGGTTTACATCGACATTTAAAAATTATAATAATAACATCTGATTATTTGGTTACGTCCACTTCTAAAATTTACTCTTAATTGGTGATGGTTGATCAGAATTATTTCCATGTAACTCAGCAATTATTTTCAATAAAATTATTCGATCTGTAGGACATTTGTGGCAGAAATAAGCTTTTATGTGAAGCAACTAGGACGTGTTGTGCATGGGAGAGATGGCGGCTCCAATAAACAAACTGCCAGTAAAAGTTGCGCCCTTTCAATGGTCAGGCAGCTTTTTCATCTTGGCGTTATTGAGGCGTTTTCAGGTAAACATATTATCTGTTTACTCAATTGTAGAACCGTGTTAATTTGAATTTCTTACAGGAACTTTAAAAAAGCAAAAAAATGCGGCGGAAATGCCGCCGTTTCCAGTAAAATTGTCACCAGAATTGAGGCAGCAAGTTCAGAATGTTTTAGATGAGTTGGGGATTTGTATTAATGAAGTCAATGTGAAAGCTGACCAATCTGCTTCCTTGCTGTCTAGTCACGTTTTGGACGATTTTCATCCTGCTCCATCCTCTCAGGTACAAATAAATGCTATACAGTGTGTCCAGTATAAAATTATGGGGATGGATAAAATTAAATAAAAGTATATGGGGATATTGGAAACCGTTAGAGTTACAGGGTAGACCAAATGGGGAAAAAGTTGCCCTATCAAGTGCCTATAAATAATCTCTCATCAACTTCTTTGAACTCGGAAAATCTTAATTTTGTTAATTTTAATTATTTATCTTGACCGAACATAAACATGTTATACATGGTTGAAGAGCATATTTAAAGGGGAATTTAAAAATTCAGAAATTCAGTATGGCGCCCATAAGAAAAACAAAAGTTGACTTCGGCCTCATTGAAGATAGTGGGCCTAGATTATTTTTTACTTTATTTTCAARTTCACGCTCATTTCTTACCCCMACCCTGAAAATTTCGTTATTGTATCTTTTATAATAAACACGATATRAAGGATTTTATATAACGTATACTGTAAACTGTATATACGTTGCTATTCCGAGTTCAAAGAAGTTGATGACAGATTATTTATAGGCACTTGATTGTGCAACTTTTTCCCCATTTGGTCCACTCTGTATCTTTAACGGTTTCCAATATCCCCATGTACATAATTTTATACTGGACACGCTGTATATGTACATAGACATCGACATGACTACCTCGCTTTTACGTTCTTCAGGCTGGAGTGGTAATTTGGTCTCCACCACAACAGAATTGGAACCCGTGGACCGGTTGCAATATAGATGAAGGTATTTTAGAAGCAATATTACGATAAGAATTGTAGTGGTTTACGTGATTGATGTTATTTTTAAGGCTTTTTGGCAACTGCCTCCATGGATCAAATTAGTGAACACATGTTAGAAGAAGCTAAATTGAAACAGACCAGTGATACGAAATTACAGCAAAACGCCATTGATAGACAAAAGTTGCCGGTGTTTAATTGCAAAGCTGCAATTATGGAAGCGATCAATGAAAATCCTGTGATTATTATCAGAGGAAATACTGGTTGTGGTAAGTATTTGCTAAGCAGAAACTGCGATTCTCCAATTAAATAGTGAACTGAAGCGACTGCTGTTTATTTTAAGGTAAAACCACGCAAATATGCCAATTTATTCTGGAAGATTACATAATGTCAGGTCAAGGAGCATGTTGTAGTATAGTAGTGACTCAACCCCGTCGAATTTCTGCGGTTTCTGTGGCCGAGCGAGTCGCTAACGAAAGAGCAGAAGATTTAGGGCAGTCTATCGGGTAAGCATTCAACTATTAGCACAATAAGACGTATACCTGTATCGACTAGGACAAAGACGAAACAAATCTGTTGTTTTAGATACTCTGTAAGATTTGAATCTGCATTGCCGAGACCATATGGATCAGTACTCTTCTGTACAGTGGGAGTGCTTTTAAAAAAATTGGAAAATGGCTTGAGAGGCGTGAGCCATGTAATAGTAGACGAGATTCATGAGCGTGACGTTAATAGTGATTTTATTATGGTGGTACTCCGCGACATGGTTCACACTTATCCAGACCTTAGAGTTATATTGATGAGCGCTACAATCGATACAACTTTATTTTCAAAGTACTTCAACAATTGCCCGGTAATTGAAATAGAAGGACGGGCTTTTCCGGTTAAGCAATATTTCTTGGAAGATTGCATTGAGTTGACCGGATTTGTACCTTCAATGGAACAAAAAAAGAAAAATAAATCGAAGAAAGATGAAGAAGGAGATGAAGATACTTTAACAGCAGATGACACAGATGAAAATTTGAACGCTGTCATTGCCCCTTCGTACAAGGCACAGACTAAAAACGCTATGGCTAGATTAAGCGAAAAAGAAATAAGCTTTGAATTGATGGAAGCCTTATTGGGATACATAAAGCGGCAAGATATTGAAGGTATGCCAGAATAATTACGAAATAAAAAATTCTACAATAGTTTTTTGTTTTAGGTGCTGTTTTAGTGTTTCTGCCTGGATGGAACTTAATTTTTGCGATGTTGAAACATTTGCAAAATCATCCGATATTTGGGAGCTCCCAGTATATGATTATGCCGCTCCACTCGCAAATCCCACGCGAAGACCAAAGAAAAGTTTTCTTGCCTGTACCTGCTTCAGTAACCAAAGTCATATTGGCTACAAACATCGCAGAAACGTCCATTACCATTGACGATGTGGTGTTTGTGATTGATAGTTGCAAGGCAAAAATCAAAATGTTCACTTCACACAACAATATGACCAGCTACGCTACTGTGTGGGGATCGCGAACGAACTTGGAGCAAAGAAAAGGTCGTGCTGGACGTGTAAGGCCAGGCATTTGCTTTCATTTGTGTTCTAAAGCAAGATTTGATAAACTGGATGAACACATGACTCCCGAAATGTTTAGAACACCATTGCACGAGCTTGCGCTTAGCATTAAACTACTGAGGCTTGGAGCTATCGGACATTTCTTATCCAAAGCTATTGAATCTCCTCCATTGGACGCTGTAATTGAGGCTGAAGTTCTCTTGAAAGAAATGAAATGTCTCGACGAAAATGATGAACTAACTCCTTTAGGACGTATCCTTGCAAAGCTTCCTATCGAACCGAGATTGGGAAAGATGATGGTTTTAGGTTGCATTTTTATGTGCGGTGGACCGCTGGCTACTATGGCAGCAAATTCTTCTACTTTTCCGGAAATTTTCACTTTGGATATGGGTCAAAAAAGATTAGCCGGACATCAAAGGGCTTTGGCTGGAGATAGACATTCTGATCACGTTGCCATGCTCACGGCATTTGAGGTATTATCTGGAAAACTTTATGTAATACAACTGTTGTACTCTACTTTAAAATGTAGTTATGGGATCACGCTAGACAGGGAGGTGAAGAAGCGGAACAGCGATTTTGCGATTACAAAGGAATAAGCTTGTCAACGATGAGAGTTACGTGGGAAGCCAAGCATCAACTGCAACAGATCTTGAATAATTGCGGATTTCCTGAAGAAACGATGGCGCCCATGTCCATGGAAACTGTAGGACCGGATCCTAAACTCGATATTATTATGTCCTTTATGTGCTACGGCTTGTATCCTAATGTCTGCTTTCATAAAGAAAAGCGGAAGGTGTGTGCTAGTGTATATTCTTCCAAATTTATGCAGCAATAATGGAATTCTTCTAGGTTCTGACTACTGAGAGTAAGGCTGCTTTGATCCACAAGACATCGGTGAACTGCAGCAATTTTGAACAGAACTATCCATACCCGTTTTTCGTTTTCGGCGAAAAAATTCGTACTCGAGCCGTATCGTGTAAACAAATGTCGATGGTGACACCGCTTCATCTTCTGCTGTTTGGTTCAAGAAAGGCAAGTATTATTTTGCTCTTAGAATTGAGAGCACAATAAATTGTTATATACTATCTATAAATAGGTGGAATGGGTGGAAGGTGTTGTTCGTCTAGACAATTGGATTAATTTAGACTTGGATCCCCACATTGCATCTGAGATAGTCGCTCTAAGACCGGCCCTGGAAAGTCTTGTGGTAAGAATTTCTCAAAATCCAGAAGAGATCATGGATCTGAACGAACAAGATCAGAAGGTATCCACACCTGAATTTACTTTGCTAAACAGGCCTCGCTGAAATGTTTGTTTATTAATTTAAAGTTAGTCGCTTGCATCAAGGAATTATGCAAACTGAATGCGGGCAGTTTCGGCATTGAAAAACAACCAACTGCGTCTAGTAATATGGGTATGGGTAAACGGCCCCCTAGAGGACATTCGCTAGGATCCTACTCAGGGCCTCCGCCAAAAATGTTCCGCGGTGGAAGAGGTATATAACACATTATTCTAGTAAGTTTAAGCTTTTGTCTACAGCCAATCAATTATAGGTGGTTATGATGGACGAGGAGCATATGCTCGAGGTGGAGGCGGATACGGCGGTGGTGGAAGCGGATACAGAGGCGGATATGGACGTGGTGGAGGTGGATATAGAGGAGGTGGATATGGTAGAGGCGGATTTATGGGCCGTGGAGGCTACTAGCTTATACAATTGATCTTATATATCAATTTAGAGTAACTATTTATATGTAGCATTTAATTGAAAATACTTTAAGTTTGTTGGACCTTTTGACAAAACTTATTTTTTTTGTTATTTGGTTTGAATAAGTTCTCTATAAGAAACTGTGGAAAAGTATTAATAAAAGAGTTTAAGACGCATCTTGATGCTATTTTCCCCGATTGCAGTGCAAAGAACTTTTTTTTAACCTTTGATTTCATTACCACCCAAACTTTCCTACATATGTACCGGAAAATCTTGCTCATCATACTTAAATCATTATATTAAAAGGCAGTTTGTATCGTTTTGCATACACCCACAGTGATCTGCGATCCACATATCCAGACTAATTCTTTGATGGTTTCTTTTCGTCGGCGATATCTGCATAACGATCGAGACCATGTCGGCTGTTTCCTCTATTGGCATTCAAATTACCAACAATAATATAAATTTCCGTCTGCCATAATCATATTATAAACGGGCATTTTTAATAGGTAATTTTATTGTTTAGAAGGTAGGGTGTAGGCTGTAATTCAAACAGATCGCGCGATTCGCATTAGAAGTAATCAGTCGGCGTCGGCGGTAGTTGCTAATGGTAAAAATAATGGTTGGGTTCCAACCAGCGTGTGTGTTGTGAGAATTGCGCTTATTATTTGAATCATGGAGGTGCTTTCGTCGCCGCCAAATATTAAAATAACCGTTGCGGCACCGGAAGGAGGTGAGTACCACTTTTTTTTTTAATTCAGAAAATGTTTCTTGGACCCTGAATTATTCCATAAAACGCAACAATATAAGATAAAATTTGCGCATTAATAGATGCTAGTAATAAATAGGGCATCCCAAAAGAGGAGTAGGTAAGTAAACTGGTTGAAAATTGTAGAAAACTGAATCCATCAAACAGTTTAATTGATGGGTGTTGTATCAGTTTTACTTCTATTGTTAATTTGTCGTCGACATACTGACATACACATTGTCCACTAATCACAAACAGCTCAATCTATCCGTTATTATACAATCAGCTATGGGAAGTAAATTAGATTGTCCTTAATTAAAATAGTTTTCTTTGCAACTGTGCTATTTGTGATGTATAGCCTAATAAAATTATAATACTATCACCTTTTTTATGTATTATTACTAAATATGGTGTAATGAGGTATACTTATTCGGTCATATTATACAGGGTGTTGTCGAACGAGCTGCAAATGTTTTAATCATTTTTGGTCAACCGGGACAATTTGCTATAAAAATGGTGTCACCTATTTATTTCAGGTAAATTTAAATACCTGTATATCTGCACTAATAGCACTGATCAAAATTTAATAAATAAGTGGATTCACTAAAGAGCTAATTCATTTTAGCAAAGTCACAAGAGTGAAATACAGGGTGTCCCGAAAGCACATGAACGAAAAGGTCTGCGACATTATTAGGCTCAATTCTTTGACGGTATTCTTTGGCTCATTCTTTGGGATGAAAGAGCTTAGCGCGATATTACTCAGAAAATACCGTCTAGCGTAATACTTTTTCACACCGAAAAACACTACAATCTCAGCTCTAAATATTTTAATCCAATTTAAGTGGTACTCAATTTCTTGGTTTCTTTGTAGATGTAAGTGAGTAAATTAAACGATCCCGAGTAGCTGCAGTTACATATAATTGTATTATATTTAGCAACATTTTCGGCAAATTCCAAACGGTAAATTATCAGTTGAAACGCGTATTTAGAAATGTGCAGTAAAGAGAGAGTGATTTAAATGTTTTTGTTTGAAAAGAATCGACGCACGTGAATTGTTTTAATTACAATCATGGTATGAAATCTATAATTGAATTAAAGTAGACAGAGTGAGTAAATTTGTTCTTGCTTGAATAAATGTCCTATGTATTATTACAGGCAAACTCCTATTACTGGAGATAGCAAGGTTTTTCTTTCTTTATATACTTTCCTGAATTGTTTAAAAATAGTTTTGTTATCTATAACTGACTCTGGCATAGGAAGGTCAAGACTCCTTTAAGCGCCACGAAGAAAATCCTTTTAGAACTTAACGTTATTCTTTTTCATGTACAAATATTTATTTTGCAAATGAGGAGCCTCTATATATGATAGATTCAACGTAAATCTCAACAGTTTTAAACAAATCAGTTAAGAGTGCAAGTAAGTCGAGGCCAATGGCGCCAACTTCCAAACGGTAGAAGAACATTTTACTTACCACGACTGTTTTTTCCGAATCCAAATCCACCCAATTTCTAGTTGGAAAGCGTAAAGAGTCCTCAAAAGTCCTCAATACACCAAACGCGCACGGTTACAAATATTCCTGATTGTTGGTAGGCACATAATATCGGCGCCGTCGCTTTTTGACAACAAACGTCAGAAATATCGAATTAGAAAATGTGTGTTTATTTTTGTTAAACTGGCACTTCTTATTTGGGAAAATGTCGTAAAACGGTCTCGGAAAATGTACTTTTTCGGAAAATCATAAATTTTCGACCGAAAAATGGACAAATGGTGATATTTTTCGAAAAATTCCCGGAGCGACTTAAACAAATTGCCAAATCTCTACCATTAAGCAATAGACTGAACACAATGACAGAACTGGCTGACGTTTTCTCAGGAAAAGGGTCTGCCTTTCTTGTCTAATGTTCTGTTCTTACTGTCTGACTCGCAAAAAGTTGAATTAATAGTAGTTGTCCCAAATTTTAAAAAAATGCAGAAATCGAAAAAAAGTTAGTAAAATAAATTCTGAAAATGTAGCTAAATGTGTCTTTTATTCTTCTAATAAAAAAAATTAAATCCCTAAAAATTCGAAATCCGCACTTAATAGAACACCCAGTATAACATCCAGTTTTGTATTAATCCCTAATTAGATCTCACCCTGAATATCCGGTTGTGTTCATTGCTCCAAAAAAACTACTATAATTTTCCCAATTACCTGGAATTTAAAAATTGTAGTTCATTACCAATTTAACACAATTACTGTGAATTATTTTTGCTGTAGTACAATGGGAATGCCACCATTAGCGTTTAATTTATCTTCATGTATTAATTTATCGCTGAAAGACCTGCTATAATATACCCGGTGTTTAATGATCGGAATAATAATCAGGTTCCTTCACGGGTTTTCTTTCCAGTTTTTCCTTGTTAATTTGGTTCGTTATATTGTTTTGTAAAACAGCAAAAGGAAGTCATATATTTCAATTAACTTGCTTATAAGTAGGTAGGTAGTGTTTAGATTGATAGTACGAAACAAATGTGTCGGTGTTGTTTTCCACTGGTCGAATGCGATTGATAAGTAGATTTTCTAAATAAGTAACATATATTTGTTTTATGGTATTATATTATATTTGTGCAATAATTTAATTTATTTCTAATTAATTGTTAATAGCCAATGATGGCTACAGGGTCTTACATTTTAACTTTTCGATTCGCTAACTTTAATACGTTTACGTATTATTATTATATTCGATATAAAAGGCATTTAAATGTTCGTTGTGTATACAAATCCAACACAAAAGACAAACCCAGGACTTTTTGCAGAAAAACGACATTTTTCTCTTATCTAGTTCTTCCCTAATACATATATTTATTCTCCTTAAACTTTTTCTATATGCTTTTGCGTCAAAACGCATTGTTTGAAATTAAAGCAATTTGAAGAAACTCTAGGACTTCCATGGGACTAATTAATTGTCTTCTGTGGACTATAAAACTTTCATATCGTTACTTGGGTCAGATTTGAAGTTTTGAAATTTTCGCGGAAAAAGCGCATAAGCGCCAAAACGCTCATTTTTAATTCAAACTTTATTAGATCCGTAAAAATCAGCAATTCAAGCAAATTTTGAAGACTTTTGGCCACAACTGTTGCCTGTAGACCGTCAAAGTTTCAGTTTTAGTCAAAGACTAAAGTTCGAAATTTTCAAGGAGACAGCGTATTTGCGCGACAACGATCATTTTTAGGACACACTTTTTCAAGCGCGAAAAAATTCGGTCTTTCTAAAGAAGTTTTATTTTAACTTCAAACATGCAGCAAAAATTTGTTTGTTCCGACTGTGCTTAATTGATTTTTTTATTGCCTGTAATATTTAAATTTCGCATTTTGGCTGTTATTAGGTTTGTTTCCTCTTTTACTTTTTGACGGCATGCCTTAATAAATAATAAAATGTTTAAGGAACTATTTGGAATTTTGTACACATTCTGCCATTTTTTATAGCTCTTTTTTCAAGTGTTCGTGAGATATTTGAATAAAACCTGTGATTTGAAAAAAGGCCTCCTCAATATAAAACAATATAAGGAGAAAAGAACGATAAAATATGCACGGAATGCAGGAAGTTGATTGATAATAAACCCGTATATTCTTTTAGAAATCCCCAAACGACGAGTGAGCATCGTAGAAGTTAATGACACAGTTAGAGCAGATTCACCTAAAGGAAAGGGGATTTTGCACGCACTTAGTCCATTTGTAGAAAACGCTTCTTATGCCACAAAAGACGGTAATTGCTTAGGTGATGGTTCTTTGATTTGAACTTCTAGAGCTCGCTAAATTTAACTTTCCATGACATTTTGATAAAAATGTATACTTTTCAGGAAAAAAGGAGAATGGGGACGCTGCACCAGGCGGCTTGTACAAAACTTGCAGCTATTCGAGTTCGGAAAACCAATATCCAGCTGGACGTAAAGATGATGGCAGGTATTATTGGAAGTTTTTCCATTTCCATCGCCAATAATTACATTTGATTTAGATCTTGGTGGTATAAATTTTGCGTAAAGTGCCGCGGCGAAGATGAGTCGATACCTTCATGGGAGCCCCAGGCATGGCCAAGATTCTGCCCCTATCCATTCTTTCCTACATATAGACAATTTTCCCGAGTGGTTTGCTTAGTTTTAATAGGGTTCCTTTCTTGGTGCGCCATATACTCTATAGTAGGTGAGATTTTAGTTGCTTCAACTCAAAACTTCTTCAAGCTTATTCGTGCGCCTTCTAGGAGAAACAGCGGCTCCTCCACATGGAAAACTTTTCCAGCTCATATTCCTTAGTATCTGCGCATACCTTGGTGGATGTCTGACGAGCCTCACCACCCTTCCAGCCCTTATAGGGATGCTTTTTACAGGGCTGTTGCTCCAAAATGTCGGTATCGTCAACTTGGATGACTCTTTTGCAGAAGTTGCAAATAAAATCAGGTAAACGGCGACGATTTGCATTTGGATCGATTGCGTAGTTGCATTTCACCAAACTGAATGGTTGGGTAATGCGATTAATTCAAGAGATTGTGGCCAGCAGGGCCTGTTTTGAATTATTAACGACCATTTGATGACCCAATTTTGCCGGCAAAACGTGCATCAAATGCGATTTCCTTTGTTAACTTTTACCAAATGGGTTCGATGTTGATTTTTCAGCTACTGGTTTTCTTTACTGTTTAGGCATGGGGCTCTAGTGATAATCCTGATTCGAGCAGGTCTGGATCTGGACCCGAAAGCCCTGTGGCGCCTCAAGTTTATTGTAGTTCGACTGAGCCTGATTCCATGGATAGTGGAAGGAGGCGTTTGTGCGATATCTTCAAGATTCTTCCTGGGAATGGCATGGGATTTCTCCATACTCTTAGGGAGTATTATAGCGGCTGTTGCACCAGCGGTGGTAGTTCCATGTCTTTTCAGGTGAATTTGTTTATTATTTTTTCTGTCTTTTTCATGTAGTTTCTCTGTGTACACTTGTAGATTGCGCACCAAAGGATATGGAGTGGCCAAAGGAATACCCACTTTGATAATAGCAGTGGCTAGTATTGATGATGCCACCTCAATTGCAGTGTTTGGTATCATTAAAAGTATCATGTTTGTCCATAGTTCGGTCACCTCACTGATCCTACAAGGACCGGTGTCCATTTTTGGGGGATTTGGCTTTGGCGTTTTATTTGGCTTACTGTTACGGTATGCACCTGAACGGAATGATAAATTTGTGGTAAGCAATTATGTGAAGTAAAGCGCCGCTGTCGGTTCAATGTGGGCTATATTCCGGGTAAAATTGTGCAAGAAATCCTCGATAAATCAGCGCACCAGAGAGGTTTTTGAAAATAATTTTTTGGAAAACCAACAAAAAAAGGCGAAGAATGATGATGATGTCGTGTGATCAAGTCTGAAAGTTCGACGAGAATCATTTGTCTCGCAAATTGATAGTTTTGTAGAAAACTTGTAGTTTAATATAATTACAAATTTGAATCTTGAAAATCGCTGGATTATTTTATTCCACAAAATGCATTTAGGAAACAATAGTTTTCAATTGTACATGAATTATTTTCTGGCTTATATCTTAGTCACTTTTGTCGTTTGCCGAAACATTCACAGCTTTCCCATAGTTTAATTACGCAAAGAAACGCTAAATTTTTTGTCAAACTTTAGCGAGTAGGCAAAAATCAGGATTGGGGGGGAATTTAGTAAAATTTAACGCTTCCATTTTCAAGATTCAACTTTACCAAGTGCGAAAATTTCAGGCCTTCAGGCGATTGAAGTGAACTTTTCAGAACTTTTAGGCCTAACTATGATCTGTAGATTGGGATAGTTTCAGAAGGTTACTTTCTTAAACTCCAAAGTTATGAATTTTTCAAGGATAAATCTCGTTTGGGCGAAAGCTTTTTTAGGAAAAACTATTCCAAGTCCCAAAAATCAGAACTGCGGCTATTTAAGTGGATTTTTCAAAACTTTTAAGCCCAACTGTACACCTGGAAAATTTCAAGCGACTAGTTGCTTAAAGTTGGAAGTTATACATTTTTCAAGAAAAAGGCGCATTTGGCGAAAACGCATCTTTTTGTCAAGGGCGCAAAAGTTGCTGACTTTTGCGCCCTTGACGCTGCTAGTGCTTGAGCTGAACGATTTGAGTGAAAATTTGAGAACTTTTAAACTCAGTTTTATTTGGTTGACTGTAAACCTTTCAAATTGCTGCTTGCATTAGATTTGAACCTAAGAACTTTACAAAGTGAAAGCGCATTTGCGCCAAAACGCTCAATTCTGGATACATTTTTCGTTCGCAAAAATCAGAAATTACGGCGATTTGAGTGAAATGCAGGACTTTAAGAGTCAACTATCTTCTCTTCACTCTCAAACTATCAAATTGCACAAAATCGCCCAAAATACTAGTTTTTGAAGGTCTGGTAAATGGTGTCCCAAAACTACGCGTTTCCAGCCAGGTGCACTTTCTGATTGAAAAATTGCTAACTTCTAAACTAGCACAAGTTAGAAGATGGAACTTTCACAATCCAGAGAAAATATTCTCCATAGTTTATCATTATAGTTCCAAAGCTCTAAAAAAATGATTAAAATCGCGAATTATTCTGAGTTTTGACGGCTTTAAATTATGACCAATTGACTCTTGTTCCTTTATGTATGCAAGGAAGGACTCACAAAATCATTTAAGTTGGTTTTTGAGCATTCTTCGACGACTGATTTTTCATGCAATTAAGTAGTGCAATTAATTAAGTACTGTAATTTTGCAAATTTTGATTTTTGGTCGAAATTTTTCCAAGGGTATCGATTTTTTGAACAAGTGAAAGATGTTCTCAAAATGTCCTAAATTTTACATCATTTTCAGCTCACAGCAGCGAGGAATGCATCGAACACATAGAAAAACATGGTAGAAGTTTCAGCTCCGAAATAATAGACATTTTCCGCATATTTTAAGCGTTTTTGAGCGTTTACGATCTTAAGCAGACGATTTCCTCCTTATTATTTACCCAAACACTTTATAAATTGATGTTTATAATTTTTTTTACGTCGAAAGGAATCGATTGAGCTCAAAAAACACGCGTGTGAAATTTTAATTTTTGTCCGATATTTTTCGGATATTTTTGGGGGTCGATTTTTTGATCAAATGAAAATGTTCTCAAAATGTCTGAGTTTTACAAAATTTTCAGCTCACGGACGTGAGGAATGCATCGAACTCATTAAAAAACATGATAGAAGTTTCAGATCCGAATTAATAGACATTTTGGGCATATTTTAAACGTTTTTTGAGCGTTCACGATCTTTAGCCGACGATTTCTTCCTTATTATTGACCCAAACACTTTATAAATGCATATTTTTGATCTTCTTACGTCGAAATGTATCGATTGAGCTCAATAAACACGCATGTGAAATTTTGATCTTTGGCCGAAATTTTTCCAAAGATGAGGGTCGATTTTTTGAAAAAATTCAAATTTTATTAAAATGTCTTAAATTTCACATCATTTTCAGCTCACGGACGCGATGAATACATCGTACTCATTGGAAAACATACTAGAAGTTTCAGATCCGAAACAATATATATTTTCTGCACATTTTAAGTGTTTTTTGATCGGTCACGATCTTTAACCGACGATTTCTGCCTTATTATTGACCCAAACGCTTTATAAATGCATATTTGTGACCTTCTTACGTCAAAAGGAATCTCAAGTCAAAGGATCGTCGATTTTTTGGAAAAAATAAAATTTTCTCAAAATGTCTTAAATTTTACATAAATTATAAAAAAATATTGCCGTAAAAATTAACGTTTGCGTTCGAGTGCACCCGCCTGATTGAAAAAAAAATTGATTACTACTAAACCGCAGCAAGTAACATTAGGACTATACAAATTTCAAATAAAAATCCTTAAATACTAATTTTTGAAGATTTGGTAAACGGTGTTCCCGAAATCAACGTTTCCAGTCAAGTACACTTGCCTCAAAAACTTCAGTAGAGTTGCTTAAAATTCTGACTTTTGCCCACTTTGTAAATGTTGTGTTGGACACAAAAATGAAAGAAAAAAAGACATTTTACTACTGTGTATCTCGAAAGTTGGGACGTTTAAAACATGCATTCGTATGAAGTGTTTTCTCAAAATATTAGCACGTCATTAACTAACACCCTGTATATTCCTTCAGGTTCCCTTCAGGATAATTATGCTCCTGGCAGCAGGAATGGCTGCGATTTACTTCAGCGAACACTTAGGATATGGAGGAGCAGGGCCATTGGGGGCTGTGGTGGCAGCCTTTGTTTCGTTGGTTTTCTGGACGAAACAAGGATGGGACATTGAAGACAACCCTGCGTCCACAGCCTTTGAAATATTCTGGATGATTGTTGAACCTGTGAGTTTCACTTTGTTAACGTTGCAAAATATTAGTGGAAATATTCCAGGTACTTTTCGGAATCACTGGGGCTCAAATGAGATTCGAGGAGCTTCATGGAACAGTTGTGCTGATCGGAATCGGCATTTTGCTACTAGGAGTGGTTATAAGAATTTTCACCACTTTGATCACAGGGATTGGTTGCAGTTTGAACCTGAAAGAGAAACTATTCTGCGCTTTGGCTTGGATGCCAAAGGCAACCGTTCAGGTAGAAACTGGATTTAATCAGGCTCTTATAAACAGTTGAAGCAGGTTGTTTTCAGGCTGCTCTGGCTCCCATTGTATTAGCTCACGTATCAGATACCACGTCCAAGGAATATGGATATGCCAAGAAAATAATAACACTTTGCATACTGTCTATTATGATTACCACTACAATAGGGGCGGCTTTGGTAAGCTTGCTAGGAAGTAGGCTTTTACGAAAAACCCGATTCGCCGTCGAGCCTGAGCAATGGAGACGATCCCACAGGCCCTCTGTAAGGGATATCAGCATTATTGAAGAAGACGAGGAAGTGGATGAGGATTCGGAGGCACAAGCCCATAATGAAGTTGTGGAAATCGCCACTATGGACAATAATGAAGCTCAGGCGGATGAAAGTAGTGCAAAAGCACCAATGGAAAAAGATGTTGAAGATACCTTGACCATGAAGCTTCGTAACGCTGAAACGGTTATGGGACCGCAGAAATCACTCGGTTCCAACGAGGAAACCATCAAGGGGGTTGCCCAAGACAAGTGAATAATTTTTACAGATTTGTTGTTTTTGTTATTTTGTTAAATAAACTTGTGTTAATTAATTAAATTCTATTTTCCGAGAATTTTATTTATTGCACCAACTATCTGAACATACAACTGAATATATCTCTGACTGGGTGCTGCTAATGAAGAATGCTTATTGATGGCTCGCCCACCCCAGATTAATAGTGACATTTAAAAATAAAACGAAACGAAAATGGTTGTTAATATCTTAGGGCCACAAGAATAAGGGATACGGTATAACTTTCATTCCGGCACTAATGAACGTCAACAGGAAACTGATGTTCATTTTAATTAGGGACTAAAATTCGTTACGGTGAGAAGAGGCTGAACCGAAGACCCATTTCTTGATATTGTCGCATTTAATTGTTTGCGGCGTCTATAAAAAAGCTTTGGTGCATACAATGAGCGGCAAACCACTAAAAAATATTTTTGACTAAAAATTGTTTGTTTTTGGTTTTCGCTTCAGTAAAAGCAGATTTATTTCATAACTTTATTCAATTGTCTATTATTTCAAGGGTTTTTAGATTCTGAACCAAAGTTCATCAAGATGAAATTTTTACGAACTGTAGGAAACATTTTAGTCTGAAAACTGAAAAGTTTATTAAAATCGCACTGGTATTCTAACTTTCGACGGCTTAGAAAACAGCTGTTTAGCCGCTTAACATTTTGCGTTTGCGGTGAAGTGCAGCCCTTTGGTTGAAAAATTCGTAATTTCTAAACCGAAGCAAGTAACAAAATTGAACTTCCGCACGTTGTACGCCAAACTACAGTCTTAAAACTGTGAAAATTTAATGAAAATCGCCCCAATACTGATTTTTGAAGATTTGGTAAATGGTGCTCCAGAAATGAGCGATTCCAGTCAAGTGCACTTTCTGATTGATAAATTGTTAACTTCTAAGGTCGACTAAGTAGCAAAGTGAAACTTTGATGATTAGTAGACAATATTTTAGTCTTACTATTCTCAAAAATTAATTAACGTTGCTGCTTTTGCTGCTTAGTAAATGTTGAGTTAAAGATGCGCAATTTCAAAAAACAATGCGCAAAAATCGTAACTATCAAAGTAAAGCCTGTAGATCGTTGGTATTTTCACAGGCTATAGGAGAAACCCGGGTCCAAAAATTGTGAAGTTTTCATTCAATTCCCCTCGAATCTTGATTTTTGGCGCTTTGGAAAAACGGTGGCGTAGAAATGAGCCTATTCACACAACCGCACTCTATTTGAAAACGTCCGCACCGTTCACATCGGGCAAGTAGAAACTTGATATTTTCCCAGTCTGTAGAAAATACTTGAGTATCAAGCTTGTGAAATTCTCATTTAGTTTAAGCCGAATCATGATTTTCAGCGCTTTGGAAAAACGGACGCCCAGAAATTAGCGTTTTCATTTAATCGCACTCTGCTGGGAAAAATACAACTACATATTACTATAGAGCAAGTAGCAACATGATACATTCACAGTCGATAAAAGAAGCCTCGGTCAAAAAATCGTAAAATTTTCATTCATTTCACCCCTAGTTCAGAACTTTGGTGCCTTGGTAAATTTGGGGCCAATAAATAAGAATTTTGAATCAACCGCTCTCTGTTGTAAAGTACTTAACTGTTAACACCGAGCAAGTTAAATTTTGGTAGTTTCACGCTCTATAGAAGATAACTGAGTCTCAAATTCTAAAGTTTTCATTCAATGAATCTTGTGTTCTGATTTTTGGTGCCTTGGTAAAATTGTGGACCAGAATTGTGCCTTTTAATTCAACCGCACTCGGCTTCAAAAATTCATAACTGTTAACATACGATAAGTAGCAACCTGATATTTTCACAATCTGTAGTAGATACTTGAGTCTCTAAACGCTGAAGTTTTCATTCCATTCAAACTGGATCCTGATTTTTAGCGCCTTGGAACGGTGGCCCAGAAATGAACATTTTCACTCAACCCCACTTTGTTTGAAAAGCTCCTAACTTCCTGTTTTGCTCAAACTTCTAACATGGAAGCTAAATTTTGAAAGTTTAAGGGATGATCGAAAGTCGAAAGAAAATAAGGGTTTTAGGAAAACAAAACCGTTGAAAAATTAAGCCCGAGCGGGAGTTAAAGAGAAATCGAAATTGCAAACGAGTCGGGAAATATTTTATTTTGGCGCAAGTATTTGATAAGAATAAATTTGGTCTGAAAATGATAAAAGCAACTAAAATAAGTTACAATCCATATAGTTGCAAATAATGTAATTTTGAAACCATAGAGTGCTTATCAGTTTCCTCAAGTAACAATTGTTCTCAACAGCTCTCAATTCGGCAAAGAGGTTTAATCTTATCGAAATTCCCACTTGAGTGGATGATATTGTTGAAATTTACATCAAAATCAAGCATTTATATAGTTGTTGAGTGTCTACCGTTTGAGGTAACATACTTTGAACATGAAGCTCCTAATCTTGTTGCTGACTGTTTCATGTGTCCTAAGGTAAGCAGAAAATTGGAAATCGTATCGAAATTGTCTGAAAAAACTTTAGTATCTTACATAACACCATTCTGGCCTTTCATCGACATAAAATAAATACATATATGTACACAAAGAAAAAGCTGGAATAGCTGAACCATACTTTTTTGAGCAAAAGTTTTAGAGTAAAAGTAATAAATTGAGCATGATTTCCTACAGCTAGAGCTACAATTTCCTTAACTTAATGTTGCCTTAGAGAAAACGCGTTGTTTGAAGACAGGATTTAATAAATTTACTTAAGCAAGTTCCTTATTCAAAGGATAAATAGTTGCGTAAAGCTTCCAGCCATTAACAATCAATTGGAGTAAATTGGTTCAAAATATTTTTTTTAAAATCGATCTGAAAACTATCTGAATTTCCTTGTTTATCTTCCATATCTAGCGCTCGAGTTGAAGATGATTACGTAGTAAACACGAGGAGATTTCCGGCTGATTTCAAGTTTGGCACAGCTTCTGCCGCCTACCAGATTGAAGGTGGTTGGGATGCGGATGGCAAGGGAGAAAATATCTGGGATCGATCCACGCACCTCTATCCAGAGAAAAATGCCAATGCTACTGGCGATATTGCCTCCGATTCGTACCACAAATGGGCTGAAGATGTGGAACTGCTCAAAGGACTAGGAGTCAGCACTTACCGATTTTCCATTGCTTGGTCCCGGGTGCTTCCAAATGGTTGGTGATAACTTAGATGTTCACCCCCATTTTAGTCCTCTTTTTGTGGTTCAAAGGCTTTGCAAACGAACCGAACTTGGCCGGTGTGGAGTATTACAAGAACCTGATTGCTGCTCTAAAGGAAAATGGTATTGAGCCTTTAGTGACCATGCACCATTGGGATCTGCCCACAGCCTTGGAAGATCTAGGCGGGTTTATTAATCCAGAAATACAGACGTGGTTTGTGGATTATGCCAGGTTTTTGTTCCAAACTTTTGGGGACGATGTCAAGGAATGGATTACGTTTAATGAGCCCAAGCAGACTTGCGAACAAGGGTAAGGCGATAGAAGGGGGTTTGGGCAAATCTTAATTTGGTCGGTGTTTTAGGTATGGCATCGGGATTTTAGCCCCCAACGTGGTGGATCCAGGAGTAAAGAATTATCAATGTGGACATAATTTGATCATCGCTCATGGTAAAGCCTACAGGATGTACGATGAGGAATTCAGGGAAACCCAAAACGGTACCAAACATTGCTAATTAGCTCACAACGCTACTATTTAAATATGCGTTGACCTAACAATAAATTAAATGTGTTTCAATTGTGTCTGTCCACGTACTTTAAGAAATAATCAAAAAATGTAGGTAGAGTCACCATGGTAGTAGACAGCAACTGGTTTGAACCTGCATCGGACAGTGAGGAAGACATCGAAGCTGCTGAACGCTACCTTCTTTTTACTGTACGTTATTTAAAATCCTCCTACCTATATTTTCTACATTAACAATACTTATTATTTCTACATTTAACTTCCTCATAGTACGGTTGGTTTGCCCATCCAATCGTCTTCGGAGACTATCCAGATGTAATGAAAGAGCGCATTGCAATGCGATCAGAGCTGGAGGGATTCAGTTCATCCCGTTTGCCATCTTTCACCGAAGAAGAACAGCAGATCATCAAAGGAACGGTGGATTTCATGACTGTTAATATCTACACTTCATCAGTAGCCCAGGTATATTCACCCAGTTATTGGTACAAACCATATGTTTATGCGAGGATCTTCTTAGGCTATCCCTGAACCTGAGATAGTTCATCTACAACCAACCAGGGATCTGGATATCGGAGTTAATGTGTATCAGCCAGATGATTGGGAGAAAACCATCACAGATTGGTTCAAGGCAGGTGGCAGGATTATTGATTTGTTGCGTAAATTCTTGCGTTATTGATCCAGGTTGTGCCATGGGGAGCGCGAAAGCTGGTGAAATGGATCAGCGACACTTATGGACACCCGGAAATTATGGTAACTGAAAATGGATACCATGATGATGGAACTGTTATCCATGATTTAGAAACGCGTGGAAGATACTACAAGGTACTAGAAATTCTCAGTTTCGGGTTGCACTCTAACTCTTATTTACACGTTCAGCTCTACCTCAGCAACCTTCTGGACGCTCTATACTTGGACGACGTCAATCTCACTGGATACATGGCTTGGGCTCTAACTGATGATTTTGAGTGGCAGTACGGATATACGTACGTAATTTCCATCTTTTATAACCACAACTAGACTTAATGCTAATGTGGTTTTCCAGAATTCAACTTGGTTTGTACCATGTCGAATTTTCCGATCCAGACAGGCCCAGAACTGCAAAGGATTCTTCGGCTTATTACCGACAAGTCGTCACTACCAGGTGCTTGGTTGATGAATGCACTGACTAATTTGAAAATTCCGTGTCTGATTGATGTAGAATTGAATTAGAAATCAACAAAAAGTGTTCTTTTTTCTGTCTCTTTTATTTAACTTTGAGCCCTATTATCAGTTCTATACTTTAGTTTACTTTAACTACTTTAGTTAAGTTTTAATGCTTGTCATTAAAACCGCTCTTATATCTCGCTTACATTTGAAAGTTTTTCCCAAACTATTTTCTTTTCATTCGAAAGTCTTTCTGTTGCTTTTCTAGCAAATGTTGAGTTATTTCTTTACACTAGAAATGTATATAAAAATATCAAATTGGCAAATCAAAACAGACGATAGAACATTGAACCGGCAGATTTAATGTTGCTTAAAATCAAAATTCAAAAAAGATAAGTGATGCTTCTTCGGCTTAGATATAAGATATCTGAAAGGGTACGTATGATTGTTACATATAGTTCTTCTGGACTATTCTTGTCTAATAAAAATTTTCATAACAATTAATTGTTCTACTGAATAGTTAATATTGTTTAGACGATTAGCACCAAATAATGTAGAAATTGTGGCCTTCAATTACCTCTAGCTGATCTTTTAATATCCTCAATTTATTGGAAGATGCTTTTAGTGAACATTAGCCGACATTACTCTGTAAGAAATTTCGCATTATAAACATCTACTTTGGAAAGTCAGTACAATCCATTGAAAATGGTTAATTTTTAAAAATCATCCTGCTGCTGCAGCAACAAAAGAACAATTTCTTACCGTTGATCTTAAATTTCGAATGTCACATAAGTATGAGTTTTATGAACTTCCGTGCACCATAAAAACCAGTCGTAAAACGTCTGATAAATGGAAAACCGAAAAAGTGAAGTAAATAATTTTCTGCCAGTTTATTTTTGTTTTAGTGCCACCGCTGAATCTTTTGTAACTTGAGGAGACGCCATGCCAGAACAGAACTTTGAGACCGTTAAGAAGAATTATGATATTCCAGTAATCAACTACTAGGCATAGGAAGATCGTGTTGGTTTGGTGTTGAAATTGTTTGATTAAATAAAAATAATTGGATAACGTTGAACTCTGATGGTGATTACAACAATTCTTTCGAGCTTTTAAGTTAATTTTTAAACGAACAATTATTTGTTAGTTTGTTTGCCCATATAAAAATATCCTGCAAAGATGTAAAGCTTTGAAAATAATTTATTCTCTGATTACTCAGCCTCGGATATCAAAGTACTTTTTGGCCATAGAAAACGAATAAATGCCATCTAACAGCGTTAGTCTTATCCCCGTTGTGTCTTTAGTTCTAAACAGTTCTTGGACATTATGCTATTGACTGTGAATGAAAAATGGCCATTTTTCTGATTTTGGAATAACAGTCGCTCCTACGAAACATTTCATCCCCACATCTGGCTTTAGTTACACGCTCTAGGGCGGGTTTTTCCAACTACCTTGAATACCTACCTATTGGTCCACATCTGTTTTCGATTAGGATGGCACGGAAGAAGGTGACAAAACCCAATGGAACAAATATATCCGTCTTTTCAGAACTTGCTTCAATATCTTTTAGCAGGTTATTTATTGATTGTTTTTCTATGCACAGATACGCTCAGGTGGAATTTGACCACTTCTACTTTGGGAAAAACCCAGAAATATATTGGGATTCTCACGGAAGCGTTCACAGGCCTCGATTTGGCCAAATTTCAGTAAAAGGGTGCATTGAATTGAGATTTAAGGTTTATGGCTGAAATGTTTCAGAATCATAAGGAACATTGGTCGCCGGCCTCTTCATGCGTTTACGATCAGTACTCATCAAAAAAATGGGCGGCTTTGAGGACCTCAAATGAAAAATGTCTGCCTACAATCGCCCCGAATTTGGGCGAGACCAAAAGTGCTTTGAATGTTTTCCGGTCCCATCGTGCTTCCCCAACTCAGTCCCCCTATGGGCCAAACCTGGATAAGCATTTTGTGGATTACCAGAATGGGTCTTACAGTCACGACCAGCAAATGCATCTAGATTCACGGTATCTTCAGGATCAGGGTATGTACATTAAGCAAAAGCCTGTTGATGAGCCTCAACTGCTAGAAACCCGCATCCAAGAGCGAAAGCAAAAAAGCGTGGATTGGGACGATGAAAACTCAACCAATGGGAAGTCAAAAAATCGACAAAAAGTCCCGCAAAACTTCGAGGAAATCCAAAATCACCGAATACTGGCCAACGTGAAGGAAAGGCAAAGAACTCAGAGTGTGAACGGGGCCTTTGCTAGTTTGCGTAAGAGCATCCCGACGCTACCTTCGGACAAATTGTGCAAACTCCAAACTCTAAAGCTGGCAGCTTTATACATCGATTTTTTGCACCATGTTTTATCTACATCATCAAGGGAAAATCCGGGCTACCGCAATGTTCCAGGAAATGTGTTCCCGTATGCGGCCCAAGAAACACTCGCCAGGGATTTTAATATGTGGCGAATGGAACGCGGCTGGAACAACCAGTTATAAATTTAAGAAAAATTCCGTTAGTTTAGTTAGGAATATCAACAACTTCAACATTCAGTGGTGCAGCACAAGGAGCCAATGAAACTGTGTAAATATTTTGTGCAACTAATGTTAGTTTTCTTGTAGCAACGATTCTGGTAAGTTCTAGTATTTTTGGTATTGGTCTATAGTAGGATTCATAGTCAGGTGTTGGGCACAATTTCATTATGTTGCCTGCTATTTTTTTTTGAAAATCTTCCGTTTTCAGTCTTAATGTAGTTAGAATAGATGGTACTAGAAAACTGTGTAACTAAACAAAAACCTCGCTTTTTAAATTGATAAAATTTCACACAAACTCCAGCAATTCCACGTTTGGTTGCATTATTTGAAAAAATGCCCTTTTCCCACCTTACGTGCCATTCTCCAACTAAAAAAGTATACGTCGTATGTGATGTAATGGAAATTTCGCTGGTGATAACTGCAACCATGGAAAAACCCTTCGAGCCGTTGACAAAACGACCGCTTTCTGGATATTCCAGGCGGACGTGGTCTGGACTCTACATAAATATTATTTGCTGTTTTTATTTCTAACATTCGAATGGACTACATGGACTCTGTTTCAAGAAATCTCAGGCTTATTATAACGTGTAAAGGTTTTAACAGTCGGATTTCGGATTTTTACCCACGTTGTGATTTTTATGAAAATCCATAATAGTTTGCAATATTTTAGGCCTAAAAAGATGCATTTTTGAGAACAATTTTTACAAAAACGTGGGTTTTTTTTATCTACGCTTCATTATCCCTTTCCGAATCTTTATATTTTACTTATTAATTTAAATATACTTATTTACATTACCTAGGTACATTTTTTAAATTCATAAACGTATTTTGATAAATTTATTTGATAGCAGATGAAGGGGTTACACTGTACATTTGGAAATCCCCATTTTATTGATACTTTTATTACATGCTTGGAGTTGGCTCAAGTTGGACCGTGGGTTTTTCCCGCTTTAGGGTCGGTCCTTACCTGAGCTGCACCTACGATACGATTACCGGCCGGACGTTCTTCAAATATATTACGTTTCTTAAACATTATGACAATCAAGTTTTAAATACAAGTAAGATACATTTTTCTCGTATCTGGAAAATATTTTTTTTTTTCTGTTTGTGTTTTTTTAGAGAAATAATAAGCGTTTTCTGATAATGCAATCTATAAGCAGTGAAATATCACAGGAGAAACTAAGTTGTTTAATTTTAAAATTATCACTTCTTTCTCTGATCAATTTTCCTAGGGAAGATCTCGATCTGCGACTTTACAGTACGAAAACCCCAATTTTTAGTTCTGGAATTACAACTTCAGCTACTCAAATAACCGAAACAATATTAAGTTCTTTTCGCATTGAAACTCGTGTTTAACTTTTTAGTTTCATTTTGCGGTTTTTCAATTATTGTTGACATTTTTCAAATGAGGGATTTTGGGTTCGAACAATCGGCAACACCAATTTGAAAATATTTTCACTGACGCTTCAATGTGGCCGTTTGCATGTATCTATTCAAATTCACAATTTCCACGCCAACCTTATAAAATGTTTGTACGATACATCATTCAGACGTTTCTTAATTAAATAGTTAACATAAAAAAAAGCTGAATGTTCTGATAACACGTGGTCGACAAATCATGGCATTGAAGGCAAAATGCGTTTCATGCCCAAGTCTTTTCTTAAAATGCTGTTGCATTAATAAATAATCGATAGTTTAAAAAATCAATTAATTGAAGCATTGAGTTAGTGTGCATTTGAAAAAAATTAGATTTTTTCAGTGATTCGATAATTATCGGGCTAAATCTGTTGAAAATTAAACAAAAATTCCGATCACTATTTCTTCATCTGCGAAAATTCGACTAAATCATTAAGAAAGCTGCGCTTTAACCGTTTTTTGAACAGATTCATCGAATGATACCACAAAAATTCACCAAATCTTCGCTCGAAATTTCGCTGGTGACAAATCCAAACATGGAAAAACCTTTCGAGACGTTGGCAAAACCATCGCTTTTTTGGATATTCCAGGAAGATGTGGCCCGGACTATTCAAAAAATTTGTTGTTTTTATTTGTTATGTCCTAAATGACTACACAGACTCTCTCTTTGCGGATAATCTCAGGCTTATTACAACGTGCAAGGATTTTGGATAATAAAATGGTTAAAATTTAAAAAACAAGCCAAATAATTGATTAAATGCCTGTTTGAAGATATCCATTCGCTGCTAGTGTTGTAACAGGTGATCGGTCCAGTTAAGTAGACGTAGACGAATTAGCTTTCCGGAAAATTCTAGTGTCTTACAAATATAGTAAACAAATAAAATTTAAAACTATTTGCAGAAGTTATATTGCCAAACTTTAAATGAACTACATTTTTCGCTTTTCCAGTCACAATGAAACGCGGCTTTTACAATTTTTTCCACATTGTGGTTCTTATAATATCCGATAAATTGGTAGACTTTTATCAAATTCGATCATTTCCTCCAAGTTTTCAACTCTAATTTTGAATTCAAACTTTGAAGATACATAAATACATGGACCACATATCGTCGGCTTAAAGCTAAAAGTGACTAAGTCCAAAATTCCGTCCTTGTGTTTGGTTGACCAATAGTGGCCAAATAATTTAAAAAATTTATAAATTTGTCTTCAAAACTGACGGTCCCTTAAGGCCACACAAAAATATCCAAGTTTCCAAAAGGATTCTCAGATAATTTTCGGCTCGGTTTAAAAGTGCATCTACCCAAAATTTATATTTTAGACCTGGTTAGTTTTAGCTATAAGCCCACGATATTTTTTAAAATCAAATGTAATTCGCATAATTTATTCGAGAGCAGATTGAGCTCTTACACTCTTGGAACTTGGAAATCCCCATTTTATTGTGATATTTGCTGTCTACTTGCGATTGGCTGGCTCTAGTCGGGCTATGGGTTTTTCCGGTTTTAGGGTCGGCCCTTACCTGAGCTGTACTGTACCTGCGATACGGTTAGCGGTCGGGCACTCTTCAAGTGTATTACATTTTTAAGTGTATAGACAATCTAGTATTAAATATAAGCAAAATTGATTTTTCACCCATCTGGAAAAGCACGCACTTTTTTCACGAAAATTCTGTGCATTCAAATTTGAATGCATTATACAGGGTTGCTCATTAGTGCGTCAAAGTGCGATATCTCAGTAAATATGAACTTTACAAGAAAATACGTCCTACGAAAGTTTTTCATGTT